ATGTGTGGGGACATGTCTATACAGTGTGTGGGGACATGTCTGATACAGTGTGTGGGGACATGTCTATACAGTGTGTGGGGACACAGTGTGTGTGTGGGGACATACAGTGTGTGGGGACATGTCTATACAGTGTGTGGGGGGACATGTCTGTGGGGACAGTGTGTGTGGGGGACATGTCTATACAGTGTGTGGGGACATGTCTATAGTGTGTGGGGACATGTCTATACATGTGTGTGTGGGGGACATGTCTATACAGTGTGTGGGGACATGTATACAGTGTGTGGGGGACATGTCTATACAGTGTGTGGGGACATGTCTATACAGTGTGTGTGTGTGGGGACATGTCTATACAGTGTGTGTGTGGGGACATGACAGTGTGTGGGGACATGTCTACAGTGTGTGGGGACATGTCTATACAGTGTGTGGGGACATGTGGGGACATGTATATACAGTGTGTGGGGGACATACAGTGTGTGGGGACATGTCTATACAGTGTGTGGGGACATGTCTATACAGTGTGTGGGGACATGTCTATACAGTGTGTGTGGGGACATGTCTATACAGTGTGTGGGGACATGTCACCATGTGTGTGACGTCACAGTGTGTGGGGGACATGTCTATACAGTGTGTGGGGACACAGTGTGTGGGGACATGTCTATACAGTGGGGACATGTGTGGGGACATGTCTATACGGTGTGTGGGGACATGTCTATACAGTGTGTGGGGACATGTCTATACAGTGTGTGGGGACATGTCTATACAGTGTGGGGACATGTATAGTGTGTGGGGACATGTCTATATGTGTGGGGACATGTCTATACAGTGTGTGGGGACATGTCTATACAGTGTGGGGACATGTTATACATGTCTATACGTGTGTGGGGACATCTATACAGTGTGTGTGTGTGGGACATGTCTATACAGTGTGTGTGTGGGGACATGTCTATACAGTGTGTGGGGACATGTCTATACAGTGTGTGGGGACATGTCTACAGTGTGTGGGGACATGTATATACAGTGTGTGTGTGTGGGGACATGTATATACAGTGTGGGGACATGTCTATACAGTGTGTGGGGACATGTCTATACAGTGTGTGGGGACATGTCTATACAGTGTGTGGGGACATGTCTATACAGTGTGTGGGGGACATGTCACTACAGTATAGTGTATGATAATTTACAATAATTATCGCTCAAGTTTGAAGTCTTATAAAAAGTTTACTCTCAAGATTAACAATGCAAGAGTTATATCAGGTTTAAGAATGACTTAATGGTATATAAGTGGCCAAGGTTTATATAATGATTCAGACTTTCACCAAGATTTGATAGGTTGAGTAAAGACTGACATAGTGATGTGTGGTGTTAGTGTGTGTGTGTGGTGTGGTGTTAGTGTGTGTGTGTGGTGTTAGTGTGTGTGTGTGGTGTGGTGTTAGTGTGTGTGTGTGTGTGTGGTGTGGTGTGGTGTGTGTGGTGTGGTGTGTGTGGTGTGTGTGTGTGGTGTGGTGTTGGTTTGTGTGTGTGGTGTGGTGTTGTGTGTGTGTGTGTGGTGTGTGTGGTGTTGTGTGTGTGTGTGTGTGTGTGTGTGTGTGTGTGGTGTGGTGTGTGTGTGGTGTTGTGTGTGTGTGTGTGGTGTGTGGTGTGTGTGTGGTGTGGTGTTGGTGTGTGTGTGTGGTGTGGTGTTGGTGTGTGTGTGTGGTGTGGTGTGGTGTGTGTGTGTGTGTGTGGTGTGTGGTGTGTGTGGTGTTGTGGTGTGTGGTGGTGTGTGTGTGTGTTGGTGTGTGTGTGTGTGGTGTTGGTGTGTGTGTGTGGTGTGTGTGTGTGTGTGTGTGTGTGGTGTTGTGTGTGTGTGTGTGTGTGTGTGTGGTGTGTGTGGTGTTGTGTGTGGAGTGTGTGTGTGTTGGTGTGTGTGTAGTGTGGTGTGTGTGGTGTTAGTGTGAGTGTGTGTGGTGTTAGTGTGAGTGTGTGTGGTGTTAGTGTGTGTGTGTGTGGCGTTATTGTCAGTGTGTGGTGTTAGTGTGACAGTGTGTGGTGTTAGTGTGACAGTGTGTGGTGTTAGTGTCAGTGTGTGTGAGGTGTTAGTGTGACAGTGTGTGGTGTTAGTGTGACAGTGTGTGGTGTTATTATCAGTGTGTGAGGTGTTAGTGTGAGTGTCTGTAATTTTAGTGCGAGTGTGTTGTTGTTAGTGTGAGTGTGTTGTTGTTAGTGCAAGTGACATGTTAGTGTGAGTGTCATGTTGTAAGTAATTATATGGAGTGAATAATTTACGAGTTTCCACACCCTTTATACACAGTAATGTACAGTACTTCCTATTTAATTGCCACAACAATAAATTAATTATAATATATTAGTAACATATTAATAAGGCATCTACTTTTTGATTGAGTGAGAGAATGTGGTAAAGGAATTTCATAAAATTTGATGTGATTACGTATAAGCTTCACTATTGGTTGTGGTAAATAAGATTATTTGTGGTTCGTCATTTTTCCAGAGATAAGGAAATACTTAGTTATTTCATCAGTGTGTTCTAAGATATGATAAGGGAAAGTGAATGTTATGTTAGGTGTGTGAGTGTGAATAATATAAACACTTCAGGTTATACAAATACATCATCAAAAAATTCATAATGACAGTACGTACAGTATATTACACGCATGATGTTATTGTACACTGTAATTGAAGATATGAAAATACAAAAGACTTGATTCATTGATTTATACTGTAATATAGATAAATATTATGTTGAAAAGTGACATACACAGTATATTTATGTTGCTGTAATCACTGTACTAGGTTACTGTACCCAGAAATACAGTACAGTATATTAAGGTGTGGTATTAAATTGCTCTTGCTGTTAGAATCACATGATCTCTCCTACAAAAGCTGACAGAACCACTTTTAAGAACAATGAGATTTTGTTAATAAGACGGAATCATTTATGGTCCAGTCTAGTCATTCAGCTGGTGTTATTGTATTATGAGTGAATGTAGGTATTTCTCGACTTATGAAAACTAGCCAGCTATCCGTGCCTGATAAATAGATCTTTCGTGTAGCGAGGAATGCCCGTAATTCCATGACTCTGCACGATAACGTCCTCATACGAATTTCGTATCACACCATACACGCATCCCACAGTCTACGAAAGGTTTCCTCACCAGAAAAAACAAAACATTCGTAAATCTAGCCGTGCCAGCACACAATAACATCATACCACACCGTACACACATTCCCCAATCTATGAAACATTTCCGCACCAGAGAAAAACAAAAACATCCGTGAATCTAGGGACTCTTGTACACCAATTGGAGGTCATTCGTAGGTGCCGTGCACGACTGCCTAATTTGCACACACAAATAAGATTTAAATGGAATGTGAATCATGATAGGATTTAAAAGTTATATTTAGGAGAGAGAGATGACCTTACTTATACTTACTCGCTTACCTCTTCGCTCATTTAATTACTCACTCGCTTTTCTCATGTACTTATTTACTCACTTATTTATACATTTAATTACTCACTCACTCGATTATTTTTTAATTTATGTATTTAATTACTCATTCATACATTTACTCATTTATTGACCCACGTACTCCATATAAAACTCTCATTAGTATTAAGGTGTTGTATTTTTCGAATGACTGCTGTATTATGCTGTAATTCACTGTTTTTTGTTAAGTTTCTGTACTATGCTGTAATTAATGTACTGTACATTCCCTTACTGTGAAATAAATGAAGTGACTTATTACAGTACAATTAGTGATACAGTCATCATTATATAGCAGATTATGAAACAGTGGAACCTCCATATAACGGACTTTAGTCTATATAGTTCGTTAGATGGGGGTTTAACATCTTACAGAACCTTAATATAACAGACTTTCTTCCCCTTATAGACCAAAGGCTTCACTGTGCAGTACAATACAGGTACTTTATTATTGGCTTCACTGCAGTACAATACTTTATTATTGGCTTCACTGTGCAGTACAATACTTTATTATTGGCTTCACTGTGCAGTACAATACTTTATTATTGGCTTCACTGTGCAGTACAATACTTTATTATTGGCTTCACTGTGCAGTACAATACTTTATTAAGTTTTCTAACTAAATATTTTGCCTCGATATGAGAATCTTTTAAGAAATACAGTACTTGAGACTATTTATAGTAATATTTAATGGAACTTAGTGGAACATGGGGAACTAAAGATGCCAGACTTATTTTTTTACGACAGCGGAACATAGGAAGTGGGAGGGGCCAAAGTTGCTTATTTTTACGACGGCGGAACATAGGAAGTGGGAGGGGCCATACAGGTAGTTACTTATTATTTCTACGAGCTTCTAACTCTTTACTGTAGTTAACTCATCACAAAAGGTCACAAGGGAATATTTTTCATTGTTCGTGTCTGCAGTTTCCAGTCTTTCACTCTTAATTTCTTTTCCGTCTTTTTTTTTTTGAGGCGTCGTTTATTTAGGCTCAGTCGTGACGCTTGATGCTTTATTATTTTTAGGTGTTTCAGTAAACCCTTGGGATGCTAACTAACCTTGACTGAGAAGTGACTGACTGATTTGACCCAAGGACAAACCAATCGACCCACCACACTTATAAACTAACCTAACCAAAATTAAACTAACCCCAGTAGGTAGCATTAGGGTATTTAATCATCTGGTGATCTATTACATAAAGGTGAATTATGTTGTACCGAGACATAGATTCCTCGCCTATATATATATGGGTTGTAAACTATGTATGTATGGGGTTGTAAGCTGTCTTTGGGGGAGCATTAAGGAAGGGCAGGGGAGTTATGTATGGGCTGTGAAATGTGTACGAGTTGTAAATTGTGTTGTGAAGTATTCAGGGAGGAAGGGGAGATGTGTAGTGTACACTGTATATATAACTAATAATCAGTCTTGTGTTTCAGATAACAGTTAAATACTGTACTGTATAATGTTATGTTAAATAATTCAATCTATGCCATAATTAACTGTCTTTTGCCTTCTTACAGGTGGACTTGGAACCAGCAGGGAAACTACACTTGATAATTGAGTTAAAATGGGCAGAACCGGAAGATGGGAATATCCGCCCGCGAGAATTCAGGGAACGGCAAGGGTTCAACCGCCGCCGGGGCGCTATGAGGCGGCGTGTTCATCAGGTACGATATACAGTATATATGGAGTCTTGTTACTGTATTGCTCTTCTGAACACGAGCTGGTGTACTCTACAGGGTGTCTCATAGTCTGTGCATAATATTTAATTAGACTTGCTTGAGGCTGATGAAATAATGTAAACTTAACCTAACTTAACTGTACAACTTAACATCATTATCAGACTTTGCTTCACGCGCTGTTCCTTGGCGAGTCTTAAAATAGAATTATAAAATACCTATACTGTCTTATACTATACTGTATATATTTATTGTACGATATAGTTTATGAGATGGTTTGAGATTGTTTATTTCAATATGTTGGGGTGATTTGTGTTTACTAAAGCTTGATTGGTGTTACAGGTAAATGGCCACAAGTTCATGGCCACATTCCTACGACAACCAACCTTTTGTTCGCACTGCAGAGATTTTATATGGGGTCTGGGCAAGCAGGGGTACCAGTGTCAAGTATGCACCTGCGTCATTCACAAACGTTGTCATCAGTCCGTCGTCACGCGATGTCCGGGAAGCAAGAGTACAGAGACGATCTCGGAGGAACCGTCAGTCAAGGTGCGTAGCTTTCCAGGTGTGCGTGCGTTTGTAAGTTTTTACATTGACCCGAGTCAGTGTAGTTAAGTTTGGTATTCTTAGCCACACTGATCGACCTTTCAAAGACATGTCTCTTACATTTAGGTCATCATGTCAAAGATTATACAGTAATTAATATTACAGTGAAGTGAAATTGAAGAAACAACAGACCTTGATCTAATGGTTGATGTCTGTTAGATGAAGGTATGGTACTGTACTATGTAACACCTAATGGTTATTTTTCTCTCGTCCACAGGGAAGCGGCCAGCAGAGGTTCAATGTCAACGTGCCGCATCGGTTTTCCGTTCACTCATACAAGAGGTTTACGTTCTGCGACCACTGTGGCTCTTTGCTCTATGGCCTTATACGTCAGGGTCTCCAGTGTGAAGGTAAGCACATAGTCGAGGTTTGTTTTGGGGTTTGGTAGGTTAGGTTAGGTTAGGTTTAGGTTAGGTTAGGTTTAGGTTAGGTAGTTTGTTTTATGGTGACTGTGATGTTATTTAGGTTTTATTGTAATATTATTCAGATTTTATAGAACAGTCATTTTGGTTTTATCGTGACATCATTTATGTGTATGGCTATAAAGAATAATGGTTAATGCTTTAAGTATTTTGTGCTCACACTAAAAATACTATATAAATTATACGGTCATTTTTAGTTTTGAGTGTGAATGGTAGTCTTTTTTTCTCAGTATGCAATATGAACATACATGAACGATTAACTTTGGTCTTAGTATATAATATGAACAATAATTTTTCCACTCAGTATGAACAAACATGTTTTGTTTTTAGTATGCAATATGAACGTTCACAAGAGATGCCAGAAGAACGTAGCCAACAACTGCGGGATCGACGTCAAACAATTATCAGAAATCCTCTCGGCCATGGGAATACGTCCTCAAGACGAAGCCGTTAAGCGCAAGAAGAAGGTCAGTCTAGCAGCCTGTCTTGGTGGGGGGGGGGGGTTGCTTTCACCATGACCTAACTTATTAGTGGACATTTGAACATACAAATTAGGGGACATATTAGTGGACAATTTAACCTACAAATTAGTGGAGATATTAGCAGCCACAGTAATTAAGTGAGGTCTTGTTAGAACTGAAACACATATTTAGGTTAATCCGGTGTTTGTTTATGATCACTCCGTGTATTACGTGACCAAACCTCCTCTTCCCCAGTCCATCACAGAGCCGTCAAAGCTGCCCATGTCGGCCGCGTCTTCTGTGAGTGTACCCGGAAGCATCAGCGAGGTGGAGGAACTCGGAACTATGAAGGACGAGGAACTCAGACTGCGGATTGAGGCTCAGCGGATCATGGATCAGAAGATGAAGGATCAGTACCCAGAGGAAGAACAGGACGCAAAACGTAAGCGACAATTTGCCCGGTTATTGGCGTCTGCGTTAAACTTGAGGTTGGGTGGGGGTAGGTGAAGGTTATTGTCAAAATTAACGAAAGTGATAATAATTTTGTTGTGTTATTAATTCTAGTGTTGTTATGAGATATTGTGTTGTATATCTTTAATGATTTTATTATTTAATGATGATGTTATTAATTGCAGTGTTGTTATATCTGCATAATGATGTTAATACTCCCAATGTTGTTACGAGACATTTAATGATGATTTTATTTCATGGTTGTAATGATGTTATTAATTGCAGTGTTGTTATAAGATATTGTGTGTTGACAGCAAGAGCCCTGGATACAGATTTGGACATGGTGCTGGTAGGGAAGAAGCTCGGATTAGCCGATTTCAATTTCATCAAAGTGCTGGGCAAGGGAAGCTTTGGCAAGGTCATGTTAGCTGAGCTTAAAGGAACGGATGAGGTTTACGCTGTCAAGGTAAGTCCGTGTGTGAATTTTGTGATGATACTGTAAAACCTCCATATAACAGACTTCTCTCTCCTTACTAATTAATCGGTAGCTGTAGGTTTTACGTACAATGGAACCTCGATATAATGAACTTTCCTTTCAACCTATAGTCTGTCAAATAGAGGTCTCGCTGTAATAATGAGTTCGGGTAATGACCTAAATAAACGGGTGTTATTGTATAAAGTGAACGCCATAGTAGAACATACAAGTATTAATATTGAAAGAATAACAGTGGAAAAAATCTTGGAAGTTTGTAAAGCATAAGTTAATGAATAAATAACAACAATGAATGTTTTCCTTGAATGAGCTTCACAGATGTTTGACCTGTGTGTGTGTGTGTGTTTGTGCGCGTGCATCTCAGCTCCCGGACAAGTAACCGTCATGAACTATGATCTAAGTACCGTCATGTTCCGCAGGTGTTGAAAAAAGACGTTATTCTTCAAGACGACGACGTAGAATGTACGATGACCGAGAGGCGCATCTTAGCTCTGGCTGCCCATCACCCCTTCCTCACCGCTCTCCATTCTTGCTTCCAAACCCAGGTGAGTGATACACTTAGTTACACCACTGTCACCAATGTTTTTTGTCACTCTATCACCAATGGTACTATGTTAGTTCTAATAGTTCACGTTTTGTCTCTGATATTATCATCTTATCAACAGTGGGACTAGGTGCTGTCACTGGTAGGTAGGGCCAGGCCAGGGTAGGTTGTGGAGGGGAGGTAGGAGTAGGTCAAGAATGTGGAGGGGAGGAGAGCCGGGGGCAGGCCAAGAATAACATGGGGAGAGGTTGAGATGCGACCCCAGAGTTAAGAACCTGACGAGAGAGACTGCAACGGACCGCACAACGTGGAAAGTTGCAATCAGGTAATGACTAATGGTGGTAATGATGGTGATGGTGTTGATTATAATAACAAAGATGGTGATGATAATGTTGTTGACAAAAACTGATAATAATGATGATAGTGATAATGATAATAAATATGCCGAGGAAGGCAAGTACAGTATTGTATTACACGTCGTTCTCCGCTCTTCCAGGATCGGTTATTCTTCGTGATGGAGTACGTCCACGGCGGTGATCTCATGTTCCAAATTCAGAAGGCCCGCAAGTTTACGGAACCACGGGCCAGATTTTACGCTGCCGAGGTGACGCTCGCCCTTCAGTTTCTTCACAAAAATGGCGTAATTTATAGGTACATTGTGTTGATGCTACGGTAGAGGGTTTACTAGTTACTGTACATTTTATTTAAACGACTCTTCGTCATCTTCTCTTTCTCTTATCTTCCTCCTCTTCTCTTCCTCATGTCCTCCTCCTCCCTCTCTCCTCCTTTTCTCTTTCTTCTACTCCTCATCCTTTTCCCTCACATTTATTTATTATTAAGCTATTATTTAATGTTTTTATTAGTTCATTATTTATTGTTTCCTATCACAAGGCTTTGATATAAGGCACCCGAGTGTACTTAGGGGGTGCTCGTCTGTAATGGCTTATGTCGCGAAGGTTAACGAGACTGCCATACTACCCTTAAATTGGCGGCTTAGGGTCCGGAGGTTAACGCAGGCTGTGCAGATTAACAGTGCCTGGAGTAGGGGCCGGACCAAGTAATTTTTCAAGGGTGTGAAGTCCCCTAGCCATAGTACGAACTACAGTATATTAAGAACTGTACTAAATTTGGCATCTTATATAATGACATTATTGATTACAGAGACTTGAAGCTCGACAATATTCTACTAGACAGCGAAGGCCACTGTAAGATAGCAGACTTCGGCATGTGTAAAGAAGGGATCCGGGAGGCCATCACCACCACCACCTTCTGTGGCACCCCAGACTACATCGCCCCAGAGGTGAGACTACGCTGACTCATTTGCTCTGTCCTTCGCTAAACACACACTACTCATCCACCTACTCCCCATGACCTATTTTCCTTCTGTAGTTGGTATCTTGTATTTGTTTGGGTCAAACAGTATATTTTTCTCGTATGTCTTTGTGGTTTTTGTTTATTTTAAGTAAATTTGTAAACAGTGGCCATTATCAGCTGTAGGGACATATGGGGGGGGGGGAGTAGTCCTTAGCCATTGTTTAAGGGTTAATGCTACAGTGTCGTGCCTTTATGTGAGCTGCTGTGTCGTGGTTCATTTGCTTCTCAGTCTGTTTTGTGTCAGGCTCTTGGGGTCACCTGAGGATTTAGTTTGGGCTCATAGGTTAGGGTATTTATAGTACTGTACTGTACTCAGGCCTAATTATAAAACAAATTCTATGGTTAGTTACACTTTACAATATCAAACAATCATCTCAAAAAGTTCTTTATTTTTTCATCATTTTCATTGTTTCATTGTAGTTTGAGATTATATTTTCTTGACAGTTTGTATAGTGAGTGTATTAGTGTGTGTGTGTGTGTGTGTCCATGCATGTGTGTGTGTTGGCAGGGTGCGTGTGTGTGGATCAGTGATATAACCAGAAATTTGACAAGTTGGGGGAAACTTTGAACAAAACATACCAAGGTATTGTTGACATGAGATAATTAATATTTTTATGTACGTTCACGATGAGCTTAACGTTCAGTTACTGATATTATTTTTATTTATTTCATTATCATTATTATTACTTTTTCCTTGGTTAAAAATGGTTTATTTGGAATAATTTATTAGCTGGAGTGGGGTGTATGTGTGGGTGAGTGTGTATGTTGTTATTTACCCCCCCCCCCCTTTGAATGCCTCACAATTAAGTGATGCTTCTCTCTGTTTCTTCTTCTCTGTACTGCTGCCTAAACAAATTTCAGTTTGCTGTATCGCTGAGATAGAGATAAATATTAACTCTGATATTTCACTCTTCATTAGTGCATGATTACTGTAATTATTGTCATTAATTACTCAAAATATATAATGATCCTTTATGCTTGTTATTTAATTAAGTGTATAATTATATTTTTAATCAAATAATATTATTTTTAATTTCTTCTACATATCTATTAAGTCAGTTGGCAGCCATTTTGTTATAAGTATTTTTTATGTTTTTTGAACCACTTGAAGAATCTCCACAGCAGCTTATTTCACCTAAAGATTAACTACCTTAATGCTAACCTAACTCAACCTAACCTCATCTATCCTAACCTAACTTAATGTAATCACTCCAAACCAAACCTAACCTAACCTCATCCCTGTACGATGGTTATCTTCAGGTGAAATAAGCTGGGGTGGAGATTCTTTAGGTGGTTCCTCTCTTCTCTTTCAACAGTGAGGCAAAGTTAATGGTGATAAATGCTCTTAACTTTGTTATTATATATTAGTTCTTAACCATTTAATGCTTACACTCAACCCCTCTCGTCCTTTCTCAATCCTTCTCGTCCTTTCCCAATCCCTCTTGTCCTTTCCCAATCCCTCTCATCCTTACCCAATCCCTCTCATCCTTACCCAACCCTCTCATCCATACCCAACCCCCTCTCATCCTCTCCTTTCACACACATTACCACAGTTTTTATTTACTTAATATTATTATTTTTCACATAAAACAACAACAATGGGACCAACTATAATGAACAGTTGTTTGTTTATGTTAGATAATGTTGTAGAGTAGTGATGTTGTTTCGGCTAATTGTGCTTTGTCCGAGTGTCGTGTCTTGTATGTATCGTGTCATTAACGCGTCTCATCATTTACCTGTCTTCGGCACAGCTCTTGCAAGGCATTGGTGGTTGAGGTACTGTACGGTGCTGACATGTGTAAGACTTATATTATTCAAGTTTTGCATTTATTTTATTTTTTATTTATTTATTTTGTTTTTTTTACCCACTGTGTGTTGACCCATAGATGTGCTTCACCTGTGTGTGTCTGTCTGTCTGTCTGGTTTTTTTTATTTTTCTTGTAGTTTTGTTTGTTGTTGGACAAGTTGTTTTTGTTCTTTGCTGAATATTTTTGCTTCAATAATTACTATATCCTGTACTGTACTCGGTTGCTTCTGTGACATGACAACCAGACTCCTGACTTGGCTTGTGCTGTACTGTACTCAGACCACATTCTCTCTTGATTGATATGTCTTTTTAATGTGTGTGTGTGTACATATCAGATTATATTTTCACTAGTATGTTTGTATAGAGAGTTAAGCAGTGCATCAGTACACCTGGACCATACACAATAAACCCCATGAGTCTATAGTATTTCCTCATTCAACTCAAGTGATGCATTCCTTGTGTTGGACAGCTTGTGCTCAGCTGAGTTAAGACCCCAGGGAGCAGAGAGGTACATCAGAACCTTGTATCAGAGAATATTACAACCAGTAATTTTTAAAACCACCATCATTTTATGGCCATTTCCCACAAACTAAATAAACAAAATAATAAAGAGTAGAGGAAACTTGTAATAATGTAACGTGCACTTACTTGAATCAAATGACTAAGTCCCCCTTTCTCTTATACAAAATACCAATTTTCCGCCGTCGACAGAAAATTCGACGAAGGCCGCCGCTTTTATCGCCACGACATAACTAAAATAACAAGATTTGGCTGTTTATCTGTTCTTTGACCTGTACAAGATAACACAAAGGTGTAAACTATATTAATGATATTGTTTTTGTATTCTCACTAGAGATGATAGTGATGATGAAAGTGGTGATAATGGTCATAATAATACAAATACAATGATTGGCTGGAAAAGAGACATCCTGTACAATATAAACTTGTGAAAGGAATGAGTCTTGTGCTTGAGGTTGTGTTGATTGTCACACACACACACACACACACACACAGCTTGTCGGCCCTATACTGGAGAGCCCATACTAGCAGCAGATGCCCTTGTTCCACAGTGCTGAAATGTGCTATTTGGTATTGATAATGTTCAAATTGTTCAAAATAGTGTATCTAAGTGCTTGAATTGTTCAAAATGTTCAACAAGTTCTCTGTAAATGACCTTTCAAAAATTGTATCATTACCACAGCAACATTGTCTGTGGCAGACCCCACACACATCACCAAGTAGGGAGGACAATTCTGCTGTTATAATACAAACATACAACACTCAAACCCTACATAGAGTTTGTGTATACTTCTGAGACACCCTGTATATTTGGATGACTTGTATACTTCTGAGACACCCTGTATATTTGGATAACGTATACTTCTGAGACACCCTGTATATTTGGATAACTTGTGTACTTCTGAGACACCCTGTATATTTGGATGACTTGTATACTTCTGAGACACCCTGTATATTTGGATAACTTGTGTACTTCTGAGACACCCTGTATACTTGGATAACTTGAACTAGCACAATTGAATTGAGAGTTTTTATTATGTGTGAAGTGTCCAAATGTATATACAGTATAGTCTGCATTTACGCGGTCAATTGAACCCGTGGAGGTCCGCGTAAAACGAGAAACGCATAAATGAAATAACAGAACATATGGGATTAATTGAAATAGAGACTGGGCCGACTCCCAAACTCCACTTTCTCCGACACAATACGTACGTTGTAGTAAAAATAACATCTTAATTTTATGATGATATGCACACACAATTAATATTTAAGAGAAGTATCAATAATATTAGGTTTTTTAACACTTACATGAGTAGAAAAGATGACTGGGCACACGGGGATGGGGGGTTGGTTCCGAGGCAGAGGGCAGATTATTGGCCTTCACTTGTATCAATTGTATTACTATCCACTACTATCATTGACTTGGGCCGGCTGTGGTGGGTGGTAGGTGAAGAACTCAGTAATGTTTTGATGACTGGGCGACCTTGTGCGCACCCTGCCAGCGCTGCTTCCCGCATAAATGATGAAATTTACCGCGAAATTTAAACATTTCATTCTGGCAAGGTGCCGCATAAACAAAAATCACGTAAATCCAGACTATACTGTACTTTGATCAATGTGTTAAAGGATTGTATATAAGTGTACTATGTATAGGAGTTAAGGCAGTGCCACACTGGGCACTTTCCTCCAAACATGTTTGGCAAACACGGTCCCGCCAGCAAAACAAAGAGACGCTTTGCATCACACTGATCTGTTTTGTTGGCGCATCTGCCCAACGCAACGAAAACAACAGCAAAGCGTCTAGACGATGTTTGCTGTGGATCCTGTCACTACGGTTAAAGCCTTGCAGGATTGTGCTATAGTTCTTCAATCTCTGAAACAAGTGAGGCGTCCGCAAAAGCTAAAGAAAAGACAAATGGATGCGTCGTGAAGTTTGTTTAAAAGTGGCGGCGGCTGGCAGATCAAAGAAGAACCCGAATCGTGATTTAATAATACTAAAGAAGTGACAAATAATTAGATACGTCATCGTTTATGCGTTATATTTTAAATTTTTATTGTTTCATGAATTATTTCAATTTTTACTTGAAATTATATGAAGCTCATTTGAGCACTAATGCGGCCAGCAAAACTCCCTGCCAAACCATTATCCATTTCTCGCAACAGCCAAAATCTTGCTGCTTGTTGGGCCAGCAAGACGAGCAACATGTTTGGAGGAAAGTGCCCAGTGTGCCGCCACCTTCACCGGAGTGAATTATCCTAATGTATTTAATGTACTTCAATTGTGTATAATCATTGTTAGGAAGCAGCTAACAGTCTTTATTCTAACACTTGAATCATCTGACAGATCCTCAAGGAATTAGACTACGGAGCGAGCGTCGATTGGTGGGCACTGGGAGTCCTCATGTACGAGATGATGGCCGGACAACCGCCCTTCGAGGCAGATAACGAGGATGACTTGTTTGAGTCCATCCTTCACGAAGAAGTTCTATACCCTGTGTGGCTCTCCAAGGAAGCTGTCTCCATTTTAAAAGGGGTTAGTTTACATGTTCTCAAGTTGATGTTTATTTTTACAACTTGACCTAACCTAGTCCATCCCAAATTGATATGTGTCATGTGATATTAATCTAACCTAACCATATTAGATTGATGCCTTTGTCTTATATTAACCTAAACTAAGTGATAATATGTTAATCTTACTTAAGGTATTTGTTAAAATAAAGATGAGAAATTAACACCAAAGAATTTCTACCCCACAGTTCATGACTAAGGAGCCGTCAAAGCGATTAGGGTGCGTGACAGAGCGTGGGGGTGAACTGGCCATAAGGAACCATAAATTCTTCCGTGAAATTGACTGGGAGGCTCTCGAGCAGCGTAAAGTGAAGCCACCATTCACTCCTAAGATTGTGAGCATGGTGTTGTCATGTTGTCAGTACAGTGATGGTAGTACATTATTGTGGTGCTTTGTTCATGGAGATTATCGAAGTGATAAGGAAGAAGTGTCAAATCATCTAAAATAATACTAAGTAAATTGAAGGACATTACACTCCCAAGTACCTTGTTATTGATGTCACACTTTCATTATTTTAAGCATAACTGCTGTCATTACTTTAAGCATAACTGCTGTCATTAGAGTAGAATAACTGAGGTTTATTCAAAAGATGAAATAAGCTATGGGGGGCTAATCTTCAGGTGATGCAACAGTTCATTTTCTCAATAGTGGATGATGTTAAGTGTAAAAATAATACAACATTATTTACCTATACATCATAACAGAAGGGACGTAAAGACGCAGTCAACTTCGACGCAGAGTTTACCAAGGAGGAGCCAACCTTGACATTTATCAACGCGGATGTGGTCCGGGCTATAAACCAGGACGAATTTAGAGGGTTCTCCTTCGTCAACAAAGCATTTAAGACAACTTCGGGTGCACCCTGCCAGGCATGAACGACTAATGCGGCACAGTGAGTGTCTCTCTTTAACCTTTTATGTGAAGAGAAATTACTGTTTGGTATCACGTACAGTGAAACCTCCATATAATGGATCTCTCTCTCTCCATATAATCCATTAGATGAGGTGTTTGTCATCTAACAGACCCTCGATATAATGGACTTTGGTCTGGATATAGTCCGTTAAATAGAGGTTTTGCTGTATTAGGTTTTGTGATGATTGTGGTTATACTAAGGTTATAGTTGTTATATTAAGATAATAGTTATTGTTACATTGAGATAATAGTTATTGTTACATTGAAATGATAGTTGTTATAATAAGATGCTACAAACATTAAGCAACAAATGGTAACAAGTCGTCTTCTCTATACTGTATTGCAGGTACAAAGTGCTTGAGTTCTCCCCTGGAATGTTGACTTGCCAAAATTTGGAGAAAAAACTCAATTTTCTTTGGGTGGAGACTCTTCTTAAAAAATAATCAAGCAAGCAACCAACTCTTTTAAAATAATCAAGCAAACAACCAACTCTTTTAAAATAATCAAGCAAACAACCAACTCTTAAAATAATTAACCAAGCAACCTACTCTTTTAAAACAATCAACCCAGGTGATCAAAGTTACATAAGGAAAGAGTAATTTTTTAACCATTTTAATTGCACAAAAATTGGATGTCAAAAAGCACAACTGGAAACAAATATGAATACAGTATATGTATTGCAAATATTTCTTAAAATAATTAATAAATAAATAATATAATAATAATAATAATAATAATAATAATCTATAATACTCTGTAATGGATAATTTTTTTGCAAAGGTTTTAAGTCAAAGTGAAAGATCTCTTGAGTCTATAGGTTACAATATTTTTTAAAGATATATAGATATATTTCATGATGGAGAGGTATTGTGTCGTGGGGGACATATAGGATGTTTTTTTATTATACTGCGGATAGTATTTATATAGTATTGTTTTGTCGAGACGTGACGTACGTACGCGTGTATGTCAAGTGTTATACAAAACTGATGAATTGACAGGAGTTTTACATAAGAGGTGACCAAATGTTTATTTATTGTTTGTATTCTCTCGGTGTTAAGAGAGCGAATGCCAATCTTTAGACTTCCATTGCCGGAGGTTTTAAGCCTAATTGCATTTTTTGACGCAGCGAGCAGTTCTCAGCACCCGACAGTCGTCCGCCCACGCTCTCAAGGTTGGCTGGACGTTGAAGAACTGACCGGTGATGAGGAGTGGTCTCAGCGTCACTTTATACCATGTTACTAGACACAAAGTTGACACAACTAGTGTTACTGGTGTCTGGCTTTGAAGAAGGTGCAGTTGTTGTCCCGAGGAGGAGCAGATGGAAGTGGTAGTGACTGTGGCGGTCGTAGTTTTTAGCTTCGTACGTGACAAAATGTGCCGCACGGCTTTACCGGGAGTCCCCTGACAATTTTACAGCGAAAATGGCCTGATTGGTGGGCCTCTGGGTCGCGTCGCTCCGTTCTCCTCACGTAGATACGAACCAGAGTCGGACGAGGATGCCCGGTACTCGTAATAAGCGACGACGTACGAGAGAGGACTCGCGTCGCCCGCATCTGCTCGTCCCCGGGACGCTACGGCAGACTCGTTAACCCTTATCTACGCACAGTTTACAATCTTGTGGTGAGAACAGCTTCTTTGTGAGCCTCGTGTTGTATTTCAATAAGGTTGTTGTTTTCCTGTGTTGTGAATAGGAGAACAGTACTTATTAGGTGCAGCGCTGCTCTACTAACAAGTGGTAGTGGATGAATTATACTATTGTAGCCAATGTGGTAATGTGCTTTTATAGTTCTCAAAATGGCATACAATTACTACGTGTATTTTCTCTATATTTCCCCGTGGCCGTGTCATAAATGAGGGTTCGGCTTTAGCGAGCTTTACGTACACGAGCGTCGGGTAACCTCGACGGTTGCGACCGAGCGAGGTCCGCGATGCACGGACATCCGGGAAAGTTTTCCAGCCACGTATAATTGACCGTTTGACGAGTTTGGGAACCAAAAGATTACGTACACATATGATGTGTAACTCTCGGTGCGTAGTGGCAGGGGACGGAGATGATCCCCACCCGAGTCTACCCTGTCCCTGAATGTCGGTGTGTATGAGCATTGTAACAAGTCCCGGGCGGTGGCGTGCGAGTGTCGCAGCCTACCTAGAGGTTGTAGATTAGCCCCGTAGCCGAGAGGGCCCCGCCAAAGGGTCGGGCGGCCGGACGACTTTGATTAATGGATCGTTTTGTAAAAAAGTTGATGGCCGTCATAATTGATATTTGAAATATTTGGGGCGGTGACTGAAGACTATTAAGGTGCTGATTTTATAAATAATCTAATTATTACTACTGAACAATTTGTTGAAACAAAACAAAACCCACTCCATTAACTAAACAAGTGCGGTAATAGGTGAATCGCCGGCGTCACAGACTCGCAATGAGTATTTTCTTTGATTGTGACAACGATACTCGGTTGAGAACCTGTGGGCCGGCCGAGGCCGGTCTCGGCTGTGGTCTCAGGTTAGTGAACGGAGCGACCCGTCACCGCTGTTTCCTCTAGCAAATCTTCCAATCGTTTATGTCCGTTAATTATTTTATTTTTTGGTAGTGTGGTGTTATTGTTGTAACTCGTGGGCGTCGGGGTGAGGGGCAAGTCTCCCCCAGCACTGCCCGGTGCTTCTCTGCCTCTCACCTGCATCTGCCCACGGTATTGCTCCAAGACCGACCTCTACTCTCGGCCCGCCTGTACGGTCCGGCCGGGTGCAGAGCGTTGGACCGTATGTCGTTGAGCCGCTGGGGGCCCAGGTCCAGTCACGAGTGCGGCCCCCAGCCGGCCACTCAAGTCACTCTTGTCATCTGCCTTATCGTCTTTCGCACAAAGAAGGAATTTTGTTGTGACCGGTGGGCGAGCACGATGGAGGGCGGGCAGTGGTCCGTCTCCCCCAGGCGGCTTGTGTCGCCGAGACCACTGGCTGCCTTAGGCCGCAGTCGAGGCCTACGCACCACAAGCCACGCCCGCTGTCTCTGTGTGCAATATTGTTTGGCCCCGGGTCAGCCGTGGCCCCGTGGACGACCCCTGACCCCCGGGCCAAGCTCGGCGTGGTGCTGCGTCCACCACAGCACGCCCACCACCAAGGCAGTGTTCTCCAACCATTCTTGACTCATTACCATATCTCATAGCCCAGACAACAAGGCCAAAGATAGTGGGTTATGTACTGTACTGTACTGTACTGTATTGTACTGTACTGTATTGTACTGTACTGGTAGAAATAAAAAAATAATCAAATCTTGTAGTTTTGTTGTCTTTGTGTTGTGGTCAAACTCTGCATTGTTAAGTAGATAGTTGTCTGGTGAGCGGCTTACAACCCACTAATGCCAGGAACGCTCGTTTGTTGACGGTTGAGGCAGATGTCCTCTTGCGGTCACTTTGTACGTATGCCGCACAAGCCTCCGTCGCCGAGGAGTTGTGACGCATGGATGCCCGAATCCAAGCAGAGGCGAGACGAGGTTCGCGAGTATTCTCGGGTATCGCGCGAGACGTATGCGGAGCGTCCTGGTTGGGCGAGATGCGCTATTTTTGCTGTAGTCTGCCAGCGAGTGGCTGCTGCATGCACAGCAGATGCAGCTTTGTGTTTCTGCTGATGTCATAGCTGCTGGCTGCTTGATAAAAAACATGTAAAGCAAGCAGTGTGCCCACCATTAATGCTCTGTAGACAACACTTTGTGTTCATTAGTATTGCAGTCAGTAGCATTTACTGTGTAATGTGCAGTGGAGGTACTCAGCACACTACCAGAAGGTCTATGATAGCCACAACGTGTCATTCTGTGCCGGACCGAACATCACCGCTGCGCGTACTGGAGTGCCAAGCCCGGCCTCGTAATGCATCCCAATAAAAAACTATTGGTAGTATCTGCCTCCCCCTATGAGAGGCAACGGCAGAGTTTTCTCTAGTCTGCTGTTGCGCTCATGCTCCTGGAATCTCAAAGGGTGCGGGTACAGTACTCAATGGCACCCGGGCCCTCGCCCCCGCCGGACCGTGCCGCTGCTGTAGGCTGGAAGCTTACAGAAGTAAATGGCATCTTCTCGCTTTAAACGGTGCAGACTCGGGCCCCCAATTCTGTAACGGCTTTACTGAGTATCAGAAAAAAAATTTGACAGTCCATCCAGTAATCCTAATTGGCTATATAAATTTCTGAAGAGTATTTGCATAGCCAAATAACTTGATGTCTGTTTCAGGAGCCGGGCCAGACCAGATGAGGTTGCACACAAGGGGCTTCTGTAAGTCATAAATTTTCATTGGCAGCGGCCGGGAAGGAGAGTGGCGGCGGGGGGCAGGAGATACCCTGGGGGGGTGCTTTCTCCTCGGGGCTCTGACTAACAGTGGGACCCATCTCACAGTGGGGCCTGACTTAGAGGAGCTCAACCTACAGTGGGGTCTGACTTAGTTGGGCTCGACTTACAGTGGGGCCCAACACCACAGTGGGGCCCAATTCACTGTAATCATCAGTATTCTCCCCTTCCTCACCACCTGGGTGCTCTAAGGTAGGGTCGGTTGGTGCACAAAACAAATGCTGTGTACAAAGTATTTACATAGGAATACGCGTGCCATTATCTGCTAGTAATCATCCCTCCCTCTACCCCCTCCCTCCTCCTTTGAACTCATACCCACTATGGTGCTCGTCGTCAGTTTAAGCACCGTGTAGGGATCGTAAATATAAGGTCAGACAGCACTATATTCTTCGGTTCCCATTACTATTGAGAGCACCCAGTTTGCCTATGTTAGATACACAACCCCTTCCCCTCCCCCCTTACAACCTTCCCCTCCCCTCTCACCCTTACAACCTTCCCCTCCCCTCTCACCCTTCCCCTTCCCTATAATACAATCATCCATGTCGTCATTGGTATTGTACTTAATTGCATTTTCATTACTTTAGTTTGGATCTTAAGCCAAAGAGATTGATGTTAGCTGTAGGTTGATGATAGACATTTTAATAGGTACATGAATTGTTCCCATAACTATTCTATTTGTAAATGTTGGTCTGAGAGAGAGAGTGGATGTTGGTGTGCATGTTTGCTGCTGCTGAGCTGTGGTGGGTTGGAAAGAAGGTCAAACCGGGTCGGGTGTGAGGCATGGGTCAAAGGTGACGAGGTGAATGTTGTGTGTACCAGATGTTAGCCGAAGCGACAACACCACAACACGGAGTCTCTCTAGAGGGAAGAAAACCGTGGCCGTTTCTTCTCTGCATCTTGTGACTGTGGTGAAGATACAGGCAGTCTTTACATCACCTTCGACAACATGCTGGATCACCGCCGACGACCTCGTTCAAAACAAGCCAACGACCTTAAAAAAAAATCCGCGAGCGATGCGAACGAGCCTTCAGCCCAACTCTTCCTCCAACAACGCCAGCCTCTTCTGATACATTGGCCCTGAGTGTGGGGGGGTCTTAATTGGACTCCAACAGAACTTTGGGTCAACCCTACTGTACTCTCTTCTACCCATGGACTATTGTGCCAAAATCAACTGTCTCCCTTACTTGAAGCATCAGTGTCCTCGTCTGTACAATATTCTGATCACTGTAACTATACGTCAATGGGTATTTTTGTCTTCTAAAAAATACTTATGTCTTTCTCTCAGCTGATTGTATGAGAAGCGTGATATAAATATATTTAAGTGTTCAACGCTTGGTTTTACTTCCTCTTCCTTGTACTAACACTTCCAAGTTATCAAGGAATTTATTTTGTTGGCTACCCTTTTAAAATTTGTATAATGCAATGGATATTACCAGATATGTCACAACACACACACACACACAACACACACACACACACTACACAACACACAACTGTTTTGATATTTAATTATACAGTATATTATTTATTTTTGCTATATATTAAGATTAATACTAATTATTTTACTTATAAAATCAACAAACTGGACACAGTACAGAACACAGTTTAGGTCTGTTGAACTAAATGGTTGATAACATAAAATAATAAATATGAAGATGTGAATAAAGTACAATCACTCAAAATATTATCTATATAAAATTGTGTTGAAAAATGACACGAAGGATTTTGGCAACCCTACCGAGACAACAGGCGTCATGTCGTTCATTCTGAAAGTGATCGACCCCCTTCAAGTACAGATAAATGTTTTAGTGACAGCATTTTTATGGTAAATTTATACTGTACTCATAATCGCCCTGTAAGCCGGGGTCCCTCTGAGATAAATAAAATCATCTTGTATTAACCAAATAAAATATCTAAAGTGAGGAAGTTAGTGGAGATAGTCTGCTAACCTCTTATGTATGGGCTCCCCTCTTCAGAATAAAATCGTCTTGCATTAACTAAATAAAATATCAAAAGTGGCATACCTGTAGTGAAAGAGTTAAACAAAAAAATAAAATCCCTCACAATTATAAGATAAAGTTTATTCAAGCAACACCAACACGAGTAGCCGGCATCGACCGTCCCGCTTGAGACAGACACAAACTTAACCGGTGACAACAATAGTGATTAGATAAGGTAGGCCAGACTAAGAATAATTCATGTATGTACAATGAAACCCTTTTAATGGATAGTACTGTATGCGAGAGATTAGTCCATTATATATGAAACTTTCCTTCTACTGGACAATACGTAATAGGTTAGTCCGTTGTATTAGAGGTTTCATCGTACAGTATTGGACATACCATTATTAACAAGAGTATGTGGTAGTGAACAAGATGGACACACAATTAACTTAGTGACAACATGTTGGTTAAAGTAAGGTATGGTATGGTAGGTCAGACAGTACTACACCCCCTCTACTTGGGGCAGTCATCAGGTACACTTATGTTAAGATGAATGATGACAAATACCACTACAGTACACAAGTACTACTGTACAGTACACAACTACCACTGTACAGTACTGTATCAGTTGGTTAGTAAGAACTACAGTGTGTGGTGCAGTGCAGATATGACTCACCAATTCTGAAACAAAAAACAAAATAAATTTCAGAAACTACATAAAGTACTCTAGTGGTTTAGGTTAGGTTTGGACATATCAGGTATGATTTGGTTTGGTGAGGTTATGCTAGGTTAGGTTAGCATTACGGTGAATTGACAAAGGCGCCTAATGTTCCCAGTTTCTCAAAATAAAAACTTAAGACATAATGTTGCCATGACGACTGTAATTCATTATTATCTCATCTACAACAACACTGAGTCAACCTCCGTTATAAGTGAGGTTTCAACCTCGATATAGTGCACTATATAGTTAGTTAGATGGAGGTTTCACACTCGATATAACGGACTTACCTCTCCATATAGTCCATTAAAAAGAGGTTTCACACTACCATCCTTATTTGCCTTCATTTCTGTAAGATACAACTACAGTACTGTAATAAACAAACTGTACAACGTTAAGGGAATACAACGACTCACCTCATTGTGAGAGAGAGGATGAGTCTCGGTGATTTAACTCTTCTTAACTACAACTAGCAACATTGTGATCTGAAAGATATATACTTGTATTAATTTATTCTTAATAATGCACAAATTAGTTTTATCAATCTACTATGCCCTGAATAATACTGTAAAATATAATAATTTATTCCTTATAATGCACAAATTAGTTTTATCAAAGTAATATGCCCTGAATAATACTGTAAAATATAATAATTTATTCTTAATAATGCACAAATTAGTTTTATCAAACTAATATGCCCTGAATAATACTGTAAAATATTATAATTTATTCCTTATGATGCACAAATTAGTTTTATCAATCTACTATGCCCTGAATAATACTGTAAAATATAATAATTTATTCTTAATAATGCACAAATTAGTTTTATCAAAGTAATGTGCCCTGAATAATACTGTAAAATATAATAATTTATTCTTAATAATGCACAAATTAGTTTTATCAAAGTAATGTGCCCTGAGTAATACTGTGAAATGTAGTTTTATTTATTTATTTATTGGTAATAGCCCACACCCAGACACAGGTCATCAACGGGGCCTGGGGAGGGGTAAAAAAATAAAGAGTAAAAAAATTTAAATTAGAGGAGAAAAAGACTATATATGTTAATCTACACCAGATTGTAAGAGTATGGAAACACAGAATAAGGCAGAGCATTCCACAGTTTTGCTGTGTGAGAAAAGAAGGAGGTGCTATAACGGGTTATTCTCGTGTGATCGACATCCACAGAGAAACTGTGGGCACCGCGGGCAAGACGAGTGTTACGAGCCCACTCCCTTGCCGGCGGTACACAGGATGCCAAATCCACCGAACATCGCCCGTTAAAGTACCTGTAAAAGAGAGAGAGTGAAGCAACATTGCAGCAGAGTTTTATCAATCTATTTGGCCTGAAGTTATCCTGTGAAATATAGTGTATCAATTTATTTACCCAAATACTGTACCTGTAATACAGAAATTAATTTAATTAATATATTTAGCCCCGAGTAATACTGTAAAGTGAAATAAAGACTTAGGACTAACAACCCCTGTCAGACAAGACACAATAGGGCACATCTCATTGAAACATAAAAAATCCTGAAAGTGGTGAAAAACATCAACCTGGAAAATTTGTTTGTGATGTCACACACCACCAACATGAGGGGACATAACTACAAGCTCTCAAAAAAAGAAAAGAAAATGTAATAAATTAATAAAAAAGGAAATAAACTTTACTTTACCTGCCAAAAGCTTAATTATTTCCACCTTCTTCTTCAAGTCTTCATCTTTGTTCTTTACACGTACAACCTTGGCCAAGTCTTTCACGGTCCTTCCTGAGGTTAACACTGGGTTAGAAAGACTCACAAGAGAGAGAGAGAGAGAGAGTGTCACAACACTGAGAGTGTCACAACAGGACTTTTATTAGCTACTAAGCACTTAAACTTTAACAAGTATTCAAACTACAGTACAGTAGGTATAGTAATTGTATAGTCAAATATACATAACATTGGACGGTAATGTTCGTACAAACTAACATAGAATAAATCAACTGGTAACTGGTGAAATGATAATTAAAATAAATAAATAAATACCAAACAGTTGTATGGCAGTGAAACATGGGCAGTTAAAAAGGATAATGTACAGAGAGCCAGAGACAGGACACGGGGAGAGGTTGTAAGAAATTATCCCAGAGTTAAGAAGTCAATGAGAGAGACTGCAACATGGAGAGCTGCCAGTGGCTGTCCCATACTGGCTTGGAGAATGACAGTAAAACAATGATGATGATAATGATATATCAAAAATATTCTAATTGTTTTCCTAATACAGTAGTTAGAAACACATTAGAACTGCAGTTACAATAGAGTACTGAACAGTAATGGACTAACCCCTGTTGTCCTGTATGGTAAGATCAGCACACGCCTTCAGCAGAGACCTAACGACCTCCTTCTCTTGCTTTAACACAGCCCAGTGAAGAGCTGTTTTACCTGCCATGATTTTACAAAAGTTCATTTCAGGTGTTCAAAATTGCCCAAACATTGTTTTGTTATATGTGGGCCTAATGACAGATTTGAAACTGTCTTTTTCTACACATACATACATCTCATCTGCCGATAACATTTATATTTGTGAAGAAGCAAACATCAACAAGACTGTACAGTATGTATCTTAAAATATCAACACTACTAATACTTCAATAATTCTCTAAATTGACAAACCCCAAAAATTATAGTAAAAAACAAAAACTTTCTTCCAACGATAAATAAAAATTCAATAGCAATAGTTTTTAAAATGTTTAGAAAATTGAAGGAAAGTTAATGGCTTTGACATTATTGTTTTGTTTATATAAACACGATGTATATGAAGTAGAGTTTTAAATATTGTTGAGAAACATTTACCATCTGAAATATGACTCACAGTACAGTACAGTACACTACACTACACTACACTACACTTCAGTGCAGTGCAGTACAGTACAGTACAGTGCAATACAGTACAGAACAGAATAGTACAGAACAGAACAGTACAGTACAGAAAAGTAAAGTAAAGTACAGTACAGTACAGTACAAAACAGTACAGTACAGAAAAGTACAGTACAGTACAGTACAGTACAGGCAGTCTCTGACTTACAACAGGGATATGTTCCCAGACCCTGATAATCAGTATGTCATAACTGTTAATTTCTTAGTTCAGGTTAAGTTAAAGCACGACTCTGCCCATACAAAACAACAATAATATTCCTGACATAACAAATACTGTAAATAAAGTGATGTTATACAATATAGAATAATCAAAATACAGTATAGTCTGGATTTACGCGGTTTTTGTTTATGCAATTGGTCATTTACACGGTGCCTTGCCAGAATGAAATGTTTTAATTACGCGGTAAATTTCATCATTTACGCGGGAAGCGGCGCGAGCAGGGTGCGCACAAGGTCGCCCAGTCATCAAAACATTACTCAGTTCTTCACCCGCCACCCACCACAGCCGGCCCAAGTCAGTGACAGTGAGGATATGGACTTTGAGGGGTTTGACAAAGAGGCCCTGCAAGCCTCTGTGGTGGATAGTGATACAATTGATACAGGTGAGGGCCAATAACCTGCCATCTGCCTCGGAACCAACCCCCCATCCCCGTGTGCCCAGCCATTTCTTCTACTAACGTAAGTGTTAAAAAACGTAATATTATTGATACTTCTCTTAAATATTAATTGTGTGTGCATACCATCATAAAATTAAGATGTTATTTTCATTACAACGTATGCATTGTGTCGGAAAAAGTGGAGTTTGGGAGTCAGCCCAGTCTCTATTTCAATTAATCCCATATGTTCTGTTATTTCATTTACACGTTTTTCGTTTTACGCGGACCACCATGGGTTCAATTGACCGCGTAAATGCAGACTATACTGTAATGTAAAAAATGGGATTCTAATTAATTTTTTTTGGCTATATCACTACTACAGTAATATCTCTGTTAGCCGGAATCCCTCAAACCCGGAACTCTCCGATAACCGGAATTTAAATTTTCTTGGAAAATCTTTCCCAATGCCAGAATTATCTGGAAAATTCCAGCTTTGGGAACGATTTTCCGAAGGGCACATTTTTCCGGAAAATTGTGAGAAAATTTTCCACATACCCGGAAAATTCCAGGGATGGGGGAGTTTTTTCCGGGTTTGAGAGATGAAAATCAGGCGTATTTTCCGTAAATTCTGAAAAAAATTTCCAGTACAGGTACCCGGAAATTTCTCATTCCCGGAAGTGATCTGCACCAATTGTTCCAGCTAATGCAGATATCACTGTACCACTGCTACTATACTACTACAGTAGATTCGCAACTTACGCGTATTTTTCTTATGCGGTTTCAACTATACGAGGATTACCCCAGGGGTTAGGCTACAATTTCCAATTCAAAATTTTCCAAATGGGTCGTACGCGCCAAACGCTAGCCCGCCATCCAAGCTCTGTCTACATAAAGTTTTTTAATTAATATTTTTGGCTCGATATATGTAAATTTCTTCATTTATTTTTACTCATTTACATGCACACACTGTCCTAAGGGCAAAGCTGTACTGTACATGTACTCAAAATAATGTACTAAATGATTACTAAAATTTTTGTTTAGTGCAAACAATAGCATGATTATATTCAAATTAATCACTATTTTATAAGAATACCAGCAATGTAAATTATATTCTCAGGACAATTCTGTGACATTTTATAAACAAAATACAAAAACTCAATCTAAATGACATAAATAAATAAACAAATAAATACTTCACTCCACCTTCGGCACAACTGTCAAACACGTCACCTCCCTCCCTCCCTCCCAGGGTTTGGTGGTTATAGGCTCTAAGTTGTTATCTTATATAATATCACAGTCTAAAGTTAGGAGAATATAATTTGCATTGCTAGAATCCTTGCAAGACAGCGAATAATTTGAATATAAACATCATATATTTTGCACAAGAGATAAAAATTAATCACCTGTACCACATTACAGTAGTGATATATGAGTTCTAGTGTATATATACAGGTATATATATATATATATATATATATATATATATATATATATATATATATATATATATATATATATATATATATATATATATATATATATATATATATATATATATATATATATATATATATATATATATATATATATATATATATATATATATATATATATATATATATATATATATATATATATATACACAGTATAGTGATTTAAGGGCGATTTAGGGGATTTTTAGGAGTGTTTCTGACTTTACGCGAAGTCCCAGGAATGTAATCCCCTCGTAAGTTACGAGTCTACTGTACTACTACTAATACTACTGCCCTCATACCAGATCTGTGTTGAAGGTTGGCATTGGCTTTGGCCTTGACCAGTTTATTCACCAGCTCAACGTGACCACCTCTGGCAGCGTGGATGAGCGCCGTGTGACCTGTGGCAGTTGTAATACCTTCAGTTATAATGTTCTACATCACATACCCCAGAATTTATTTGTTAATATCATAATTGTGCCCAAAGTCTCGTATTCTCAGCCAGGGCCACCGAGAGCTGGCACACTGGGGCAAGATGCATCATCAGTAGACTACTTTAATAAAGCATGCTGGTCTTTTACTAATAATTAAGTAATACATATGCAAGACCTCATTATTGTCAAAGAAAAGTTTATTAATACTGTACTGTAATTGTTGTCAATACAACACAGTAGAAGAGCTTGTTGCTGAGCTGACCAGAAACAATACCAGTACTGTACCACCATTATGAGGAGGTTTGACTTACCAGATGTGTCTTGAAGATTGGGGTTGGCTTTGGCCTTTAACAGTTTATCCACCAGCACGGTGTGGCCACCTTCAGCTGCGTGGATGAGGGCAGTGTGACCTGTGCCAGTTATAAAACCCTCAATTATACATCATTATATACCCTATAATTTAAAAGTTAAATTCTAAACTCTGGCTAATGTCTTGTATTCTCAAAATAATTCCCAACTTTGTCAATTTAACTCCAGGTTCAGTTAGATTAGTTTAAGTCAGGTTAAGTTTGGTCAGGTTACCTGGATCTGTTAGTTTATTTCTATAAATCTCAAAATATTAAATACAATTGATGATTAGATTTAAAGAAAATTATATATATATATATATATATATATATATATATATATATATATATATATATATATATATATATATATATATATATATATATATATATATATATATATATATATATATATATATATATATAGGCTATTATTTTTAGGCTGTCCTGACCAATATGATAATAAGTGAAATAAAATTATACCCTTGTGTTTACCTTTTTTATTCTGACTGTCAACTCTTGAACCTTTCTCGATGAAAATGTCAACGATGGACGGAAAGTTGTAGTAAACTGCCTTGTGGAGTACAGAAAACCCTGTGTGGACAAAGATAAACTGTGAGAGCCTTGTAAACTACAGTACAGTAAACCCTGTGTGGACAATGGTAAACTGTGAGAGCCTTGTAAACTACAGTACAGTAAACCCTGTGTGGACAATGGTAAACTGTGAAAGCCTTGTAAACTACAGTACAGTAAACCCTGTGTGGACAATGGTAAACTGTGAGAGCCTTGTAAACTACAGTACAGTAAACCCTGTGTGGACAATGGTAAACTGTGGATTGTAAACTACAGTACAGTAAACCCTGTGTGGACAATGGTAAACTGTGGATTTGTGTTTTGTTTTGAGGAAAGTATCCCATAGTTTAAAAGAGTAATCACTGAAGAGAAATACAATTAGACTGATGATAATTTAACTTGTGATTGGGCTTTCAGAAATGTAGCCCAATCATAAACAAAAAAATACCTGGACAGTACAAACAAATAATACCTTGACACTACAAACAAATAATACCTGGACAGTACAAACAAATAATTCCTGGACAGTACGTACGATAATCCTCAATAATTACAAATTTGAGTTAGTTCAGCATATTATGGTCAATCAGGAATGCCGAGTTAAATTTCGGCACATGGACAGACTTGCTCATATGACGCAGTACAGTATCAAGGGTTAAATATAGGAGAGCCTGTACTGTACTGTACTTACCGTCCTTCTCCTGGAGATTTGGGTCAGCGCCTTTCTCCAACAGAAACTCCACCACATTCTGATGACCCCAGTATGTGGCAGCATGTAGGGGCGTCACCCCTGTAAGTACACAAACATTATGTAGTATGTATGTGGCAGCATGTAGGGGCATTACTCAATGTTTTAAATATCTACAGAGAAACCTCCATATAATGGACCTCTCTCATTATATAATCCATTACATATGGGTTTCCCATCTAACTGACCCTCGATATAATGGAGTCCATTAAATAGAAATTTCATTGTACTGTATTACAATAAATGTGAGATGTATAACAAAAGTATCAAACAGAAAATACAATAATACAAAAGATACAACACACTTTAATCCTAAATTTTGGGAAAAACCCCTTTAATTATATAGTTTATAGAGTAGTTTGCAGGTGGTGAAATTAGCATAAAAGTAACCCCTTAAGTAAGACATGATTAGAAATGTTCTTAAAACCACTTAACATAGTCCTTTAAGTAACTACAAAGGCAAACTACAATACTTAGATGAAATACTTATACAGTAAATCTTCGATAACTCGGAATTTCATATAACTGGGCATGGATACGGCCTCAGAGTGTATTACATACAGTATAACTCGGGAAATGATGAGATATATAAAATTATCTGGGAAAATGAAGCTACCAAACAGGGAGGTACTACCGCCTGGGAAGATATTGGAAGCATAATGTGTTGTCTAATGGTAGACCCTGCTGCCATATGGCATCACAAAAATTGTGACCAAGTCCTAGATCTGACTTTCTGCCTCATTTATACACAATTGCAGGGTCTCAATTGTTTCTCTTACTTTATGGTTCTTTATTATTATTATTATCATCAGCGTTGTTGTTATTATTATTTTATTTTTTATTATAAATTTTATTTACTATGAACTAAGTATTATTATTATTGTTGTTATTATTATTACATTTTCGCCCCCCAGGCCCCAATGTGGATCAGTGACCTGTGCCCAGGTGGGCTAATTCCTGTAAAAAAAAAGTGTCACCTACCATGCGTCTGTGTCACCTACCATGCCTCTGTGTCACCTACCATGCCTCTGTGTCACCTACCATGCCTCTGTGTCACCTACTATGATCCTTCATTCTTCGCCTGCAGTGCTGATGAGTGTTAATTTTTTACATTTAGTAATTACATTACATGTACAGGTTGACAATCCCTTATCCGAAATCCTTGGGAACAGAGGCATTTCGGATTTTTTTTTTTGTATTAGCCCATCCGGGCACAAATCACTGACCCACATTGGGGCCTGGGGGGCGAGAATATAATAATAATACTACTACTACTACTACTACTACTACTAATAATAATAATAATAAATATACAGGTAATAACAATTCATAGGTCTAGGTCGTGTTACTCACTTTTTATCTTTATTTCATTCTTGTATTTCTTTATTATTATTATTATTATTTTATTAATGCAGTATAATTGTTATCATTATTATTTTATTTTGGTGTATGTTTTAATTAAAATTTTTATTTACTATGAATAATTACAGGTATTATTATTATAATTATTATTATAATTAGTATTACTATTACATTTTCGCCCCCCAGGCCCCAATGTGGGTCAGTGATCTATGCCTGGGTGGGCTAATCCCTGATGATGATAAAAAAAAAAAAAAAAAAATGCTCCACAAAAACCTTTCGGTTTTCAGAGCTTTTCGGTTTTCGGACAAAGGGTTGTCAACCTGTACACACAAATGGGTCGATAATTTTTCAATGTGTTTTTGCAGGAGGAGGGAAGTGCCTCGATAAGTTAGAAATGGGGATAACTCGGCAAGGCCAGAGCCCCATATGTGTCGAGTTTTGGAGGGTTTACTGTAACTATGAAACAAAATCACATAAAATTCCACATCACTGAAAAAACTCTGTAAACTACTTAAATGAATTAATTAAACATATAAAACAAAAGGCTGAAAATAAGACTCACCCCACGAGGTCTTGGAGTTAATATCGGCCTTGGCTGCTACAAGACTCTTTACGATGGCCAGTCTACCCGCCTTAGATGCCAGGTATAGGGGTGTGTAGTCTGTGGGTCAATACATACTTATATTTATCCATCTACCTCTCTGTTTAGCTGTGTGTCTATCTAACTGTCTATATATCTATCCGTATGATTATCTAACTATCTATATACAGTATCTATCTATATAATACAGTGAATCAATAATGAAATAATTTAACTAACAAGAGATAAATATTGAGTTTATGGGGTTGGTATGTGTGTGTGTAATAATAATAATAATAATAATAATAATAATAATAATAATAATAATAATAATAATAATTAACGGTTTATTGAAAAAGTTCTGCAGCCCGAAGGCTGAAAATATACATTGGACATAAATGACTTATTACATACATTGGTGGTTTAACAAAAGCCTTCATTAGAGATAGGTAAAGGAACATACAGTGTGTGTGTGTGTGTGTGTGTGTGTGTGTGTGTGTACATCTACAGGTTAAACAGTATCTGCCTTACTTGAGTGTGGGGTGTAGACATTGGGCTTGGCTTTGTGGTCCAGTAGTATCTGAACGATCTGTGGGTATCCGTTCCATGCTGCTATGATGAGCGGTGTGTAGCCTGCAGAGTACAACATGTGTTAATGGTGTTTGGTCTCAGGACGGTATTATTGGTCATTCAGCGAGGTTAGGTTAGGTTGAAATTATGTTTTGATAGTGTTTTGAACGATTCTGACCCTTATTTCAAATAGGTGGATGACCAAAACGAATATCTTACCCACAGTACAATACAACCTCTGTGTGTGTGTGTAATCTCAGGATAAGACAACATGTACAGTATTACAGTCATGACATTTATAACAGATTTGAAAAAGATTATATCCAGTACTTTAAATACATACATAAATAAATCATACAAAAGAGACATCAATGGCAGTTCTTCATGGTACTGTTTAGAGGAGTAAATTATGGCAACTCTCATGGTAGTACAGATACAAATCATTGTACTCACCTGTGGTCGAGACAGTGTTAGGGTCAGCACCTTTCTGTAGCAGTTTATCGACGATGTACTCATTACCAAGGTCCACGGCCAGATACAAAGGTGTCAGGCCTAGGGAAGGATAATGGTGCAATGGTTGATATTTAACCTCTTCCATCTTATTGAGACGTGTTAAGTTTTCCAACAGTACAGTAGTAGGTATTATTTTACTTTTGTACAACCATGGAATCTGGGATTTTTAACACATGTAAAAGATATATCTCATTAATCTGACTAACTTTCATTCTACACACTTCAGTCACAAAAGAATAATAATGATGTGTGCGGAAATGCAATAATACCCTTATTTCATCCAATGGTTAGACACGCAGCTTATTTCAGTCCGACTAATTACCCAAATGTAGCCGCAATGAAGTCAAATAATGGTCCTACATGAATAAATCGGACTGCTAATCACTTCTCGACTAGTATTTGGTGTCAGAAAGTCACAAAAAATTGGAAAACTTACTTTTATCTGAGTTAATAGGTCGTGTGCATGTACCGACGGAGCGAGGAATTACCCGTAGCCAAATGTAGCCGCAATGAAGTCAAATGATGGTTGTACAAGCGTAATTCGGGCTGTGAATCACTTCTCGATTATTATTTGGTGTCATAGTAAAAAAAATTGGTAAAAATAATCTAATCTGAGTTGTGTTGTGTTAGGTTTGGTTAGGTTAGATTAGGTACATGCACTTGATCTATTAACTCAGATTAAATAAAGTTTACCAATTTTTTGTGACTTTCTGACACCAAATACTAGTCGAGAAGTGATTGGCAGTCCGATTTATTCATCTAGGACCATTATTTGACTTCATTCCGGCTATATTTGGGTACATTTGGGTAATTAGTCGGACCCGCTTATTTCACTTGATGATTAAAGCATCAAAATAATGGTCCTCACCTAATTAATGGGTCAAAATAATGGTCTTAACTGCACACTCAACTCTCATGTCTCTCCGAGTACGTATCTCACTCACCATCCCACACTCCCTCTCTCACTCTCACACACTCTATCCCATCCTAACCCACAAACTCTCACTCACCATCCCACACTCCCTCTCTCACTCTCACACACTCTATCCCATCCTAACCCACAAACTCTCACCCGCCTACCCCACACTCCCTCTCTCACTCTCACACACTCTTTCCCATCCTAACCCACAAACTCTCACCCGCCTACCCCACACTCCCTCTCTCACTCTCACACACTCTATCCCATCCTAACCCACAAACTCTCACTCACCATCCCACACTCCCTCTCTCACTCTCACACACTATCCCATCCTAACCCACAAACTCTCACCCGCCTACCCCACTCACATTACATACTCACCATTCTTCCCCCACTCCAAACGTACCTCACAGATCCACAATTAGCTCACTGCCTCTCCTTCCTGTTGACGAGTGACACAACAGAGAATAAACCACCACAAACAGAGAATAATAACAGTTTTGTAACACGCGCCATGTTGAAAATTGTCTGTCAGAGATGTAACCGACCAAACGTTCTCATCATGGAAAACGTTTGTCACTCAGTACAGTATTAATAGGGGGAACTGCTTTATGAATCCCGTTTACCTGTGTATAAATGCATTGTGGTTTATTTTTCCCCGGTTTAGTTTGTTTTAAATGTTTTCTTACTTTTTATTGGCTCACATTCATTATAAACCACACTCGTTCAACGTAACCCAAATCTAATTTATCAATAATTCAATCTATCTCCTCACTCACCTAAAATCAACCAATACCACTCGTACTAAAGCAAATTCACTGTCCTTGACGACACACCCACCTTTAGCGCTGACGGCATTAACTATTGATCCAGCTCTCAGTAGGATGTCGAAGACCTCGGTGGTGTTGCGATCTATAGCATACATGAGCGCTGTGTAACCTCTGTTTCTCTCTGTGTGAGGAAGGGAGGGAATGAGGGGGGGAAGTAGTGAGGGAGGGAAGGGCGGAGTGAGTGAGTAATTAAATATAATAATTAATATAATATAAATAGTTTTCAAAGTAAACAAATTCCCTAAAAATTATATGTTGAAGAATAAATAGTTTGGGCAGGTCAGATTAGGTCATGTTATGTTAGATTAGATTGGGACTGTTCAGGTTAGGTAAGATTATGTTAGGTTGCGTAAGGTCAGGTTAGGTATGTCAGGTTTGGTCAAGTCGTGTTAGGTTAGGTTAGGTCAGGTTACGTTACGTTACGTAAGGCCAAGCTATATTAGGTTATGTCAGGTTTGATCATGTCAACTTAGGTTAGGCCAGGTCACATTACCGGTATTCTCGGTGAAGGACACATAATAAGCTGTCTCATTCATTTTAAGAATTTTTTCCACAGCTTTGACGTTCTGCCTCTCTGCTGACTGAAGGAGTTTGTTACCTGAAGGAGAGACCTGCTGTTAGTGATGGCTAATGGTGACTGTATATACAAACAGCAAGACAGTTATAGACAGAGCTGATACTTTTCAAGACAGAGACAGACACACTTACCATAACATACTTTCCTCTGTCTACCTTCCATATCCTGACATCGCGGCTTGGTTTGCTTTTCATTCAGTTTTGCTGCCTCGACCACCACCAGCGTCAGGGCCCCTACCACCACCCACCACACGCGCCACATCTGTCTGTAATGGTAGAGGTGGTACTGGAGGGGAGGTGGTAGTGGTGGAGGTGTGTTGGAGTGGTAGTGGTGGAGGGGTGTTGGAGTGGTAGTGGTGGAGGGGTGTTGGAGTGGTAGTGGTGGAGGGGTGTTGGAGTGGTAGTGGTGGAGGTGTGTTGGAGTGGTAGTGGTGGAGGTGTGTTGGAGTGGTAGTGGTGGAGGTGTGTTGGAGTGGTAGTGGTGGAGGTGAGGAGGAGAGGGAAATCTTAAACCGCTGGACAAATAAATTTATCAAACTCGTCCTAGATCTAAATTAATCTGCGTCCTTACAAGCTCTCTCTCGCTCTCTCTCTCTCTCTCTCTCGCTCTCTCTCTCCATCCCTCTTTCTTTCTTTCTATACCTCTCTCTTTTTCCTTTCTCGCTCTCTTCATTGTCACTGGTGTATTTATCGTTTGTGTCTCTCTCCTGGTCTAATCTCCAGAGAGAGAGAGAGAGAGAGAGAGAGAGAGAGAGAGAGAGAGAGAGAGAGAGAGAGAGAGCGTGTGGTGTCAGTGGTCTGTTTGGGGATGTTTTATAAGAGGAGGGCGGCCTTGACCAAATTGTGTCCCACCCCTTATTGTGGCAACCCCTGACCCTTACTCTATGTGAGAGAGAGAGAGAGAGAGATCCTTTACCTGTTAGTTGTGTGTGTGTGTACAGGTGACGTTAATAATGAGTGTATGTGTGTCTGTATATGTACGTACGTGTGTGTGTGTGTGTGTGTACAGGATTAGTAAAAACAGTCCGAAAACGTTTAGAGTGGAGGACTGTGGTCGCCAACCCTCAGGATGGTAGTACTCTGATTGGTTGATGTTTGTTAACCCTATAAACATCAAGGGACTTTGTAAACAGCGGGAGGATGACTGATGTACCATAACTAGTGACGGTGAATGAATCTGTCCCTGCACGTGCACCCCGGAGGTCAGGATCGTCATATCTTGTCTCCCTCCTCTCTATATTTATCACGTAGACAAGGCAGACAAGTGAGTGGGAAAACAAAGGGGTGGTGGTGGGTGTTGTTCTGTTGTGTTTTTGTAATATATGGTGAGGATTATACCGGATTTACGGTGACGTCATTCCATAGTTGCTATTGCTCCCAGCACTTTACTGTAGCTTCCGTCGTGTGTGTGTGTGTGTGTGTGTGTGTGTGTGTGTGTGTATGTGTGTGTGTGTGTGTGTGTGTGAGCTAACTGTTACATTGACTGTATTCTTAAGTTTTCTGTAGGTTTTCGTTACATTAGGAAGAAACTAAAATAATTATATTGGAATTATTCATAATTTACATCCACTCTCGTCAACAACGAAGTAATTTTACTACCTTCGTCGTTCATGAGACCAAATATACAACATGAACTTTGAATGATAATTAAACCAATAATTATGTAATTTATTCTATAATTTCCGGCGAAAGAAGTTGATATAACCTAACCTAACCTAACGTACTATAAGTCGTATGGAAATATTTCACTTAACCCAAGACTTACGACCAAATTAAATAAAACGCAAGAACATGGCGTCAGAATCAGACTGAGACTCGACCTGAGAACTTTATACTCGTGGACATTTAATGGCATATATTCTCCTAAAAAAATAACGAACAATAATTTTGACTCCTACCTGGTATGTATGTATGTATGTATGTATGTATGTATGTATGTATGTATGTATGTATGTATGTATGTATAGAAAGAGAGCTTCACCAAGATGCCAACAGCTTATAATGGGAGCAGAGATGTGATTGATGATGGGTACGGCTGTTTCTGCTTCTCTTGTTCATATACTGCCCATCAACCCCCTCAACTCCTCAACCCATCAACCCCTCAACCCATCAACCCCTCAACCCATCAACCCCTCAACCCATCAACCCCTCCCCATCAACCCATCAACCCATCAACCCCTCAACCCATCAACCCCTCAACCCATCAACCCCTCAACCCATCAACCCCTCAACCCATCAACTAGATATTGTCAGCAAGGTCACCAACTCGACACCAGAAGCCAGTCAAAGTTATTTACAGACTTACACGCTCATAGAAAGCGGGAAGTTCCTCATTGTATTGATGTATCAAAGAAACTGCCGACCGACCAAATATTATTGTGAGGTAACTTAAGAAAATTGTGGAGTCACAGATTATTTGTGTGTGTGTGTGTGAGGTCTATTATGGCTTGGGCCTATTAGGATTGGGGCCTATTAGGACTGTGGCCCCTCAGTACCTATTTGACCTACAACCAGAATGACCTTGAAAAATGTTAAGTTATATAGGAAGAGTATGTGAAGTTCAGCACACACACATACACACACACACACACACACACACACACACACACACACACGCCTACAAACATCAAGACACAGACACACTTTGTTCCTCTCCCCTAAATTCCAGCAATTTGAACAATAAATTGGGATGGATGGAGGGAGGGGGAGGGAGGGAGGGAGGAAGGGAAGGAGAGAGGGAAGGCAGGAAAGAGGGAGTATAAACACAACAGCAGCAACAACAACGAAAACATCACAGCACACCATCATCATCATCATCATCAACAACTAACACAATATAATCATGAGCTTAACCTTTAAAATCATGCACCATCAACACGTGTCTGCTTGCATGACTGTCTGAGTGTCTGTCTGTCTAGGAATTCCAAGTACTGTAGAACCACACATGCAACCACTGCTTGTAAGTGTGTTTAGTAACCCTGTCTGTATGTATGTCTGTGTCACTTTATCTCTCCACGATATAAAACAAAGTGGCCTTAAGAATAAACAGAGGAGACACACACACACTGATCCTTCACTGACCTCTAGTGGGTGTAGGTCATTAGGTAGGTAGGCAGGTTAGGTAGGTAGGTTAGGTTAGGTAGGGTAGGTAGGTAGGTTAGGTAGGGTAGGTTAGGTAGGGTAGGTAGGTAGGTTAGGTAGGGTAGGTTAGGTAGGGTAGGTAGGTTAGGTAGGTAGGTTAGGTAGGTAGGGTAGGTAGGGTAGGGTAGTAGGTGAGGCAGGTTAGGTGGGTAGGTTAGGTAGGTAGGTTAGGTGAGTGGGTTAGGTGGGTAGGTTAGGTAGGTGGTAGTGGGCAGGTAGGCAGTGGGTTAGGTGGGGTAGGTAGGTTAGGTAGGTAGGTTAGGTGGTAGGGTAGGTGGGTAGGTGGGTAGGTAGGTAGGGTAGGTAGGTAGGCAGGTTAGGTAGGTAGGTTAGGTAGGTAGGTAGGTAGGTAGGTAGGTAGGTAGGTAGGTAGGTAGGTAGGGTAAAGTCTCAAGGTAGTATTTTCTCAATGTCTTGTACTGTACTCGGTATTAAACTCTTTCCACGTTAACTTGACCCGTAAGTCACGCCCTCTTCTCTGCTAGTAGCTGATTGGTTTAGAGAAAATTCACACTAAATGTGTTCACAATAGGTCAGCAGATCTGTTATTATCTAAAATAATGTTAGATATCTGGACTATCATAATGTAAATAATTCAAGGCATTAGCACTTTATAGAGAGTGTTAGAAATATCTATTATAAAAGGTCGACAAATACGCATTTATATACGCGCAATCTGTATATTTTCAGCCACCGGCTGCAACTCTATTAATAAACCGTTTATTATTATTATTATTATTATTACTATTAATCGGGGGGGAGGAGGGGGGTAAGACGCCCAGAAATACCAATCAGCTATTTGTAACTATTGAGGAGGGGCGTGGCTTATGGGCCAGGTTAGCATGGAAATACTATAGTTTACACACCTTGAGGAGCAGCTCACAGTATGGTGAGTAGAATCAGCCCCTCCTTGCTGTTATTGCTGCACCACGTGCTGTGTTTGCTGCACGAAGTACCGCTGGTATACTTGCTGCACGAGATACCCTTAGCTGTTGTTCTTGCTGCACATGTTACCCCTAGTTGCTGCACGTGGTACCCACTGTTCCTGCTGTACCCTCCCACAGCACCCCACGACCCTGGTATTCACACTGACCCAATGAGCTGCCGCCACACTGTTTATATTGTATTAAGCCACGCCCCCTGCATGATGCCAGAGAACCCTGTTTATGACTTCCGCCCGAGAGACAGAGAGAGAGAGTCAAGTGTCTCTGAGGTAAGAGAAAGAATTACAGATAAATATATACTGAGAGAGAAGAGAAGAAGACGGGTATGAGAGGGGAACAGTTGAGTTAGTCACTGAGAACAACAACCTTACCCTCCTCTCTCCTGTCTTGGCCCCCTACCCCACCCGTTCCTCCTTCCTTCCCACTCTCTCTCACTCCTTTCCTTCCTGCCTTCTTCCCTCCCTCTCTTCTCCCCACTCCTTACCTCCGTTCCCCACTCATTCTACCCCTGTCTCCTTCCCTTCCTCACTCGATCCCAACCTCCTCTCTCTCTCTCTCCCTCCCTCCTTACCACCCCCACTCCCTCACCCCCACTCCCTCACCTCCTCTCCTCCACTCACTCACCCCCACTCCCTCACCTCTCCTCCCTCACCTCCTCTTCCGTGCTACAAGTTACTGGTACGCGGGCTGGCTCTTAATTCCACCAACTATCCTTTACTGACTCGCGTTACAGTTTTTACAGTATAAACACCACACTTGTCGCTCTTCTCGCTGCCCGGGGTATTATTTCCTAGAAACTGGCGGTATGCGCAGCTGCTGAGAGGCGCAGTGTTAAGTGTGTGTGTGTGTGTGTGTGTGTGTGTGTGTGTGTGTGTGTGTGTGTGTGTGTGTGTGTGTACAAGGATAAACAACCTGGAGTAACAGTGGTGACAGAGAGAGAGAGAGAGAGATGTCTCTTAAGTAATGTTCTCTACTTAACCCAACAATGTGCTGTTAGCGGCTCTGTCTCGTCCTGGATAGATGAATTACTGACTTCTCCCGTCGTGTGAGAGTAGATCTAATCTAACCTAACCCAAATTCTTCATCAAAACATCTCGCCCCCACATAACTTTCAAGCTACTTTCCAAGGCTGTTCAGGTTACACGGTGGAGAGAGAGAGAGAGAGAGAGAGAGAGAGAGAGAGAGAGAGAGAGAGAGAGAGAGAGAGAGAGAGAGAGAGAGAGAGAGAGAGAGATATATTGTCAAGTTTAACATCATCAAACAAGATTAAATTAATTATTCTTAAAGGACCAGAAAAACTTCGCAATTATCTTATTTACAAAGACCCTGAGGCGCTATAAACATATCACCCACATGAATATGACCCATGTATACTATTAATTTGACCTATGTATACTATTAATATGACCTATGTATACTATTAATTTGACCTATGTATACTATTAATATGACCTATGTATACTATTAATTTGACCTATGTATACTATTAATTTGACCTATGTATACTATTAATATGACCTATGTATACTATTAATATGACCTATGTATACTATTAATTTGACCTATGTATACTATTAATTTGACCTATGTATACTATTAATATGACCTATGTATACTATTAATTTGACCTATGTATACTATTAATATGACCCATGTATACTATTAATATGACCTATGTATACTATTAATGAATATGAATTATGTATATGATGGCTTCTGGGTTATATTGTCTTGTTATTTACTATTATTTCCAAATATAACCATAGGGAGTTAATAAATATATTATAATGTTTGTAAATAATAATAAACAGATTTACAAAATATTTCTTTAATATATAACTATGTAGATACACTTTTAAGCACAATAAGTACTGTCAATATTTTTCACACAGACACACAGACAGACAGACACACACACACACACACACACACACACACACACACACACACACACACACACACACACACACACACACACACACACACACACACTGCTCCTCACTGACCAGCTGTGAGAGCCAAGAAAATGAAAAAAAGGGTTAATAATTTAATATCAGACTAAGATCAAAATTCTTGACGTGTACAGCTTGTGTTAATAAACTCTTCTTAACAATATTTAGCATCAGGTTTCCTCAAGTTAACTTACAAGAGCTTTTAACATAAACATTATTTGACATACCATAAAAAAATACGTATTTCAGTTTTAACAAATGTTGCAATAATACACTTTAACATAATTAACAAAAGTCCTTGAGATTTACATCCTATAATGAACTATTTAACAAAGTAAACACAATTTGGCGAACAAAACACACACAACAAGAACTTTGAACTGAAAGACTCAACAGAGCCAGCGCACAGCACCAACACGCTCTGGAGGGGTTACAACACTAACAACTATAACACGCACTACAACACCGCCTTAGAGAATCCCTACAACACATAACATTACTGTGGGAGGTGATAGTGTCTTCACCAAACACGAGTACAGATGTTGGTTTATTTATGTTAGGGAACCGGATATGACGCGATCTGTGTACAAAATGAATACCAATAATGCGTTATGAGGTCGATTTGGTTACCGGAGCCCTGTATAGTGAACTGAGAGAGAGAGAGAAAGATTAAGTAAGGTCAAGATGGTTTTACTATTATAACCGATCATCTTGTATACAGACTCTGAACATCCAAGGCTCTAACACTAACAAACTGACAGACAGACTCGGGATCGGTAACAACTCTCAAGGTAACTTATATTTGACTGGAAGTACTAGGTCTCCAGGATAATTTATACTGGTTGAAAGGATTGACAGGGAAGGAGGAGGTCGCCGCGAAGGACTTGCGAGAGTTGTCAACATAGGTGATGCTGGGGACGTCACTTCTGTGATTGGATGGGAAGAAGACTCGTCCTAAAATTTGTTGTGAGGACGTCTTGGGTAGAAACTCCTTATTGTTCATCCTGCTGGTGATTTGTACTGAAGGGTGAAAGGATCGCCGCCCCGTAATCGACTCCTGAAGGTGACGTGACCGTGAAGTCTTCCGTCGATCCTCGGGGGGTACAGGAGTCACGTAGATTATGTGTTGGTCTCTGGCGACGTGACGAGTATTACGCGTTACGTCTCTGGCGGAGGGAGGGAGGTAGTGCTGTTCTAGAGGCAACACCACGCCCCCGGGAGCTCCTGACTGTATGCTGTTACTATCGATTAGGATAATAGGACGACCTTGCTGTTGGTTGACGCTGCCAGAGAGAGACGAGGAGAGAGACTGAGATAACGATGGAGGAACAACTGAGAGATTCGCTGACGAGGATGATGTTGGCGTAAGGGAGTAAGAGACTGACGCTGAAGGAGACGCAAAAGAACTAGACCCAGACGATGAGCTTGACAGTCTTTGGGTACCTGAGGCTGTGTTGGCTGGACCACTGGGGAAGACCTGAGGACCTGGAGAGGAACCTGTGTCTCCAGGTCTTGACGGGGATGTGATGGTGGTGTTGACCTGTGAGACACTGTTAACGGGAGGAAGATATCCCTGTTGTAGGGCCGACAGTTTAATGGAGGATGTTTTGTTCTGTTGCCTCGGGTCAGAGAATGTTAAGGTTCCCTGTTGATTGACAGATACCGCTGTCTTCTGTCTGGGGACGGTGATGGTAACCTGTCTCTGTTGGGTAATGGAAGACAAAATATTCTGTTGTCTCGGAACAGTGTAGGATGTCTGCCTCTGTTGAGAGATTGACGTTCCAGTAGACTGTCGTCTGGGGACAGTAAAGGATGTCTGTTGCTGTTGAGTGACTGCAGGAGACACGACTTCCTGTTTGAGGCTGTCAGTGAGAGAGACAGGGGCCGGGGAGACGGAGAAAGGCCCTTCACGGCTTGGAACTCCAGTAACAAATAAGACGGCGGCCTGTTGTGAACTGTCCACACTAGAGGGCGTGAATTCCTTCGTCGGCGGGACATACGAGGTCTCTAGAATAAGATCAGATCTCACACTCGACTCCCTGCCTGTAGAGACACCCCCACGCCCACTTGAATCAACAGGGCCAAAAACAGGCTCCGGGAGTGGGATATCGTAGCTGGGTGACGACTCAATCTGGCTGGCAACTATCGTATTCCCTCGAAGGTTGACTACATTAGTGAGAGAAGGGACAGTAAAAGTAACTCTGGGAATTTGGCTGACGCCGCTGGTGTGGGTATTAGTGGTGGATCCCTGGTCAATGGTAATAGGGGCGAGGCTGGGCACAGGGTTAAAGTTAGTTGATGGGGTGACGTATAAAGACCCACGTGACCCATGAATCTTCTCACTGCTTTGTATGATGATGTTACTCTGGACTTGACCCCGATTGTCCCGGAACTGACCTTGATTGCCCTGGGACTGGCCCTGATTGCCCTGGAAATGACCTTGATTGCCCTGGAATTGGCTCTGATTGCCCTGGATCTGTCGCTGAGTGCCTTGGACTTGACCCTGACCCTGACCTCCACGGACCAGTTCCTGAGTGGCCTGAATCTGATCTCGGCCTTGGAAGAGTTTCTGACTGTCCTGGATGACCTGATTTTGAGTAACCAGGAACAGTTCTTGATTGAGAGGATCACCCAATGTCCGCACTCCAGCCTCGTTCACTTCCTGTTTGTTCTGTGGTTGTAATTGGTTGTCCTGGTACTGATCTTGGTTGTTCTGGTACTGATCTTGGTTGTCCTGGTACTGATCTTGGTTGTCCTGGTACTGATCTTGGTTGTCCTGGAGGCTAGTTGATTCTTGGCTGCCAATAAGTAGTATGTCGTCGTCTGTAGCCACGGGTTGAAGATTTACTCTGAGTGACACAACATCTTTGAGACCTGCAGTATTGACCCCAGGACCTGTGTGACCTGCAGTATTGACCCCAGCACCTGTCTGACCTGCAGTATTGACCCCAGGACCTGTGTGACCTGCAGTATTGACCCCAGCACCTGTCTGACCTGCAGTATTGACCCCAGGACCTGTCTGACCTGCAGTATTGACCCCAGGACCTGTCTGACCTGCAGTATTAACCCCAGGACCTGTGTGACCTGCAGTATTGACCCCAGGACCTGTCTGACCTACAGTATTGACCCCAGGACCTGTGTGACCTGCAGTATTGACCCCAGGACCTGTGTGACCTGCAGTATTGACCCCAGGACCTGTTGGTAACCCTGTACCCGGGGTAGGATAGGTATATCCTCCAATGACCTGACCCTGACCCCCTCCAGTGACCTGACCCTGACCCCCTCCAATGACCTGACCCTGGCCGCTCCTGATGATGTTGGTTCCTTGGTTCAACCCCGCTGGGACCTGACCTGGCTCATAGCTGCCCTGATCTACCCCTTCACCTGGAATTGAATCAACTCCTCCTTGACCTGGACCTGATTGGAGGTCTTCTCTTGGACCTGATTGGAAGTCTTGACCTGGACCTGAACTAACTCCTCCTTGACCTGGACCTGATTGGAGGTCTTCTCTTGGACCTGATTGGAAGTCTTGACCTGGACCTGATTGGAAGTCTTGCCGTGGACCTGATTGGAAGTCTTGACCCGGACCTGATTGGAAGCCTTGACCTGGACCTGATTGGAAGTCTTGTGCTGGACCTGATTGGAAATCTTGACCCGGACCTGATTGAAAGTCTTCTCTTGGACCTGATTGGAAGTCTTGCCGTGGACCTGATTGGAAGCCTTGACCTGGACCTAATTGGAAGTCTTGTCCTGGACCTGATTGGAAGTCTTGACCTGGACCTGATTGGAAGTCTTGCCGTGGACCTGAACTAACTCCTCCTTGACCTGCACCTGATTGGAAGTCTTGACCTGGACCTAATTGGAAGTCTTGTCCTGGACCTGAACTAACTCCTCCTTGACCTGCACCTGATTGGAGGTCTTCTCTTGGACCTGATTGGAAGTCTTGACCTGGACCTAATTGGAAGTCTTGTCCTGGACCTGATTGGAAGTCTTGACCTGGACCTGATTGAAAGTCTTGACCTGGACCTGATTGTAAGTCTTGACCTGACCTGATTGGAAGTCTTCTGACCTGATTGGAGGTCTTGACCCGGACCTGATTGAAAGTCTTTCTGACCTGATTGGAAGTCTTGACCTGGACCTGATTGGAAGTCTTGACCTGGACCTAATTGGAAGTCTTGACCTGGACCTGATTGGAGGTCTTGACCCGGACCTGATTGAAAGTCTTTTCTTGGACCTGATTGGAAGCCTTGACCTGGACCTGATTGGAGGTCTTGTCCTGGACCTGATTGGAAGTCTTGACCTGGACCTGATTGGAAGTCTTGACCTGACCTGATTGGAAGTCTTGACCTGGACCTGATTGGAAGTCTTGACCTGCATTTGATTGGAAGTCTTGACCTGGACCTAATTGGAAGTCTTGAGCTGGACCTGATTGGAAATCTTGCCCTGGACCTGATTGGAAGTCTTGACCTGGACCTGAACTAACTACTCCTTGACCGAGACCTGATTGGAAATCTTGCCCTGGACCTGATTGGAAGTCTTGACCTGGACCTGAACTAACTACTCCTTGACCGGGACCTGATTGGAAGTCTTGACCTGGATCTGATTGGAAGTCTTGCCGTGGACTTGAACTAACTCCTCCTTGACCTGGACCTGATTGGAAATCTTCTCTTGGACCTGATTGGGAGTCTTGACCTGGACCTGATTGGAAGTCTTGCCGTGGACCTGAACTAACTCCTCCTTGACCTGGACCTGATTGGAAATCTTCTTGGACCTGATTGGAAGTCTTGCCGTGGACCTGAACTAACTCCTCCTTGACCTAGACCTGATTGGAAGTCTTGACCTGGACTGAACTAACTCCTCCTTGACCTGGACCTGATTGGAAGTCCTGCCGACCTGAACTAACTCCTCCTTGACCTGGACCTGATTGGAAGTCTTGCCGTGGACCTGAACTAACTCCTCCTTGACCTGGACCTGATTGGAAATCTTCTTGGACCTGATTGGAAGTCTTGACCTGGACCTGAACTAACTCCTCCTTGACCTAGACCTGATTGGAAGTCTTGACCTGGACCTGAACTAACTCCTCCTTGACCTGGACCTGATTGGAAGTCTTGCCGTGGACCTAAACTAACTCCTCCTTGACCTGGACCTGATTGGAAATCTTCTCTTGGACCTGATTGGAAGTCTTGACCTGGATCTGAACTAACTCCTCCTTGACCTAGACCTGATTGAAAGTCTTGACCTGGACCTGAACTAACTCCTCCTTGACCTGGACCTGATTGGAAGTCTTGCCGTGGACCTAAACTAACTCCTCCTTGACCTGGACCTGATTGGAAATCTTCTCTTGGACCTGATTGGAAGTCTTGACCTGGATCTGAACTAACTCCTCCTTGACCTAGACCTGATTGAAAGTCTTGACCTGGACCTGAACTAACTCCTCCTTGACCTGGACCTGAATGAACTCCTAGACCTGGACCTGGAGGTACCCCTGATTGATCCAAATCGGGGCTGAATTCGGTCCTACTTTCTAGTGGGGTAAATCCATTGAATCCAGGACCGAACCCATTGTCTTTGATGCTGTTACCGAGTAAATCTGGTGAGTCGAACCCGTCTTGTTCTGAACCTTCGAACCCGGCTTGTTTTTTCCTCGACCCAGACTGTCTTCCTCCAACGCCAGACTGTCTTCCTCCAACGCCAGGCTGTCTTCCTCCAACGCCAGGCTGTCTTCCTCCAACGCCAGACTGCCTTCCTCCTCTAACGCCAGTCTGTCTTCCTCCAACGCCAGGCTGTGTCTTCCTCCAACGCCAGGCTGTCTTTCTCCAACGCCAGTCTGTCTTCCTCCAACGTCAGACTGCCCTCCTCTAACGTCGGCTGTCTTCCTCCAACGTCAGGCTGTCTTCCTCCAACGTCAGGCTGTCCACCTCTAACGCCAGGCTGTCCCCCCCAACGCCAGACTGTCCCCCCAATACCAGGCTGTATTCCTCCAACGCCAAGCTCTCCCCTCTAAAGCCAGGCTGCCCCCTCTAACGCCAGGCTGTCTTCCTCCAATACCAAACTGTCCACTTCCAATACCAGGCTGTCCTCCTCCAACGCCAGGCTGTCTTCCTCCAACGCCAGGCTGTCCTCCTCCAATACCAGGCTGTCCTCCTCCAACCAGGCTGTCCTCCTCCAACGCCAGGCTGTCTTCCTCCAACGCCAGGCTGTCCTCCTCCAATACCAGGCTGTCTCCTCCAACGCCAGGCTGTCTTCCTCCACCGCCAAGCTCTCCCCCTCTAACGTCAGGCTGTCTTCCTCCAACGTCAGGCTGTCACCTCTAACGCCAGGCTGTCCCTTCAATACCAGGCTGTATTCCTCCAACGCCAGCTCTCCCTCTAACGTCAGGCTGTCTTCCTCAACGCCAGGCTGTCCCCCCAACGCCAGACTGTCCACTTCCAATACCAGGCTGTATTCCTCCAACATAAGCTCTCCCCTCTAAAGCCAGGCTGCCCCCCTCTAACGCCAGGCTGTCTTCCTCCAATACCAAACTGTCCACTTCCAATACCAGGCTGTCCTCCTCCAACGCCAGGCTGTCTTCCTCCAACGCCAGGCTGTCCTCCTCCAACGCCAGGCTGTCCTCCTCCAACGCCAGGCTGTCCTCCTATCTGTGGCGCATCACCAAAAATATCAGCGTTGATACTAAGAAGGAGGTCGCCAAGGCACACTGAAAACTGTACCACCAGACACACACGAGGTACTGCTGGCTGAACACGGTGCCATTGGGACACAGGAACGAGTACTGTCTCACGCGGCGTCCCTCAGACACGCAGATGTGGAAGACCTGACACTCAGCCTCCTCGTCAGCGTAGTAACCTGGTGTCTCCTGGTCCTCACACCTGTTAAAAGTCCAATGATGTGAGAGAGAGAGGTGGTGTTCTTCAAGGTTTTTGTTATTATGAACTTAAACTGGTGTTCTTAAGCTGAAGACTGGATAAGCTAAATACAGTCGAATAAGCTGAAGACTGACGAATAAGCTAAATACAGTCGAATAAGCTGCAGACTGACGAATAAGCTGAAGACTGATAAATAAGCTGAAGACTGCTGAATAGGCTGAAGACTGGCGAATAAGCTGAAGACAGAAGAATAAGCTGGACTGCTGAATAAGCTGAAGACTGCTGAATAAGCTGAAGTCTGACGAATAAGCTGAAGACTGACGAATAAGCTTAGAACTGGTGAAAAAGCTGAAGAGTGATGAATAAACTGAAAATTTGGCCGGAAAGCTGAAAATTTTGCAAGCTGATATAGCTACAAAGCTTCTATGTTGGCAGAAAGCTGCGAAGGTAACCAGAAAGCTTACAAATTGACCAGAAAGCTGAAAAACAGTCGAAAAGCTGATAAAGTCAGAAAGCTTGCAAGTTGGCCAAAAAGCTGAAAAATTGCCAGAAAACTTACGAATTGGCCAGAATGCTGAACAACTTGCCTAGAAAGCTGGATAACTGGTCAGGTAGTTGAAAAAATTTACCAGAAACCCGAAAAATAGTCAAAAAGCTTAAAAATTGGAAGAAAGCTGAAAATTGGCCAGAAAGCTTCCAAAAATGACGAGAGCTGAAAAATAAACAGAAAGCTAAAAAAAATGACAAAACTGAGAAATTTGGGCAGAAAGGTGAGGACGTAACCTGTTGGGTACTCACCTGAAGCTTGTGTCGGGCACCCGGGAATAGGTTGGGTAGTCAGCCCCGGCCACGCCCACAATCATGTCGTTATCTTCATCTTCCAAGTTAATGATGTCAACTGTGGGTATGACAACAGAGATGTTATGTTATGTTATGTTAGGTAGTATTTATAGATTTGATAACTATTTTTACTGAAGCACAATGAACAGTAAAGATGAACAAGGAAAATGTTATAGTCAAGAAGGTCATAGGTCAGGGGCCCCGATGGCTGCCAGTGGATGTCCCCAGGTCAGTGTCCAGATGTCCACACGTCAACTACAGGTCATTTGAGGTCACGTTGGCCCACTGGCTCACCTGAAATTCTGATACAGGTCAACAAGTCAACTACAGGTCATTGGGTCTAATATACCTGACACTGTACTTAACACCTTCACTTCCTCAACTGTAAAGTCAGGTACCCATTTACAACTCGGTCGTCAGGTGCCCCGGAGCGAACCACCAACCAACTGGGTCGTTTAGGAGAGTCCCCGGGGATCGACATGACCAACTCAATCTAAAGTTATCATTATATTAATAATTTTACTTCATTCCCAATATTTTTTTCATCGTAAGAAAGTTTTTATTTGTATCATTTATCACTTAAGTTCAATAAAGTTCTAAGTTAATATTTTGTTTTAAGTCCAAACTTCACGTCCAATTAAGTCTCCTGACATCATTGTTCACCTGAGGTCCGATGATATCACTTTTTACGTAAACGATGATGTCACCGAGTACCTGATGTCCTATGACGTCACGCAGTACCTGTTGGGGAGGACCTGGACCTACCTGCTGTAAGTGCGTTGGAGACTGACTCATCCTCGAACTGACCCGTGACCTGGAGGATGAAAGAGTGAGTGAGTGAGAGAGAGTAAGTGAATGACCCTAAACATTTGGTCTTCTGTTCAGTTTAATTGTGAACAAAACAATCAATCAAATTAATAAACAACAACAACAAAAACAAGGGAAAAATACTGAAGTGGATGACACAGAAAACGAAGTGAAAATTTACCCGTGACTAAAGAAAACTGATAAAACTATAACAGAAAATGACAATAACCGATAAATAACCCAAAAGGGAAAATAAATAACTGAAGGAGAAAGAGAAAACCACAAGAGTTAAAAGAGAAATTAATAAAGAAGATGATATAGAAAACGGAATGGGGATTAAGGTGAAACTAAAGAAAACTGACGATTGTGAAAAATTAATTATAAATTGAAAGGAAAAGAGAGAGATCACAGGTACTAGACGTGGCACCATTGTATAGACTCAACTTACAATGTAGGCAACGCAGGCAGCAGGACAACCAACAACATGGCTGCTGTGGAAGAGAGAGAGAGATGATTAATATAAAGAACACACGTAATAAATATACATATACATAAGAAAGGAGAAGGAGAGAGTACAGTAAAAACATGACAAAATTGAGATGATGGTAGATGTATAGTACAGGTAGATGGTAGATGTATAGTACAGGTAGATGGTAGATGTATAGTACACCTGTTACCTTAATTAGCGTCAACCAACACACACACAGGAAGTACGGCCAGACATAATTCACCAACAATTACGTAAAAAAAAATTTCCGACTTCATAAAGAGAAAAGCGGAAGTTATTTAATGTTTGGCCGAAATAATGCGTTCAAAATATATAGGGTAGGGAGGCCAGGGGTAGGTAGAGGCCAGGGAAGTGGGAGGCCAGGGGTGGGTAGGGGCCAGGAGTAGGTGAGGCCAGGGGAGGTGGGAGGCCAGGGGGTGGGTAGGGAGGCCAGGGGTGAGTAGGGAGGCCAGGGGGTAGGTAGGGAGGCCAGGGGTGGGTGGGGCCAGGGTAGGTAGGGAGGCCAGGGGTAGGCAGGTCTGAAAACATTTAGTGTTAGTGGGTCGTGGTCACCATCCCTCAGAATATTAAGAGTACCGTACACACACACCAACGATATATCTCACCCAGAAAATTACTCCGTGTTTTTATCTCACTGGTGGAGACAGACAAACTTACAGACACAAGCCTCACCCTCCTCCTTTCACCTCCTCCCCTTTCACCCCCTCCTCCCCTTTCACCCCCCTCCCCACACAAAAACAACTCCATTCCCAACCATTAACCCAAATGTATACAGCGTTTTAGTTACGCTGTGTGTGTGTGTGTGTGTGTGTGTGTGTGTGTGTGTGTGTGTGTCACGCTAATAAAACACTATAGTAATCCTGAGGTGAAACAACACACTCAGCGCCATTTGTTGAATCTCACCTGAATTATCGTGTATAAGTAAATTTAAGTAGATCTAAGTTAGTGGATACAGGTGGATTTAAGGGGATTTAAGTGGGTCAAAAATGAAAACCTATCCTTCACACCTACTACAACAACTACCACCACCACATACAGCTAGCATGATCCATGATATATTGACCAATGAGAAAGTCAAGACATACCTAGACGCGGAGAGAGAGAGAGATGTGTTTTAATTACTCACCCGCCGCCATTACCCTGGGGCGCCCAGGTAGGATCATCCCTTAACGAATATCTGTAAGGAAGAAACATTCACATTATTACTATACATAATCTGTTAACACAAGTGATAGGTTAGGTTAGGTTAGGTTAGGTTAGGTTAGGTTAGGTTAGGTTAGGTTAGGTTAGGTTAGGTTAGGTTAGGTTAGGTTAGGTTAGGTTAGGTTAGGTTAGGTTAGGTTAGGTTAGGTTAGGTTAGGTTAGGTTAGGTTAGGGTCACACACTTTCAGTAGATATAATACACAAATCTCTCCTACTCAATGACATAAACAATAGAGTTTGTTTGTCTGTAAACACACCTTGCTTATACACAAACAAGGTGATACAATTCACTTGTAAACAAAGACTGAGGTGAAAACTGGGATCACCTGAAGATTAGCCCCCCCGTTTATTATACTACACGATGATTAAACAGCCAAACCTAACCTAACCTAACCTAACCTAACTTAACCTAACCTAACAACCTAACAACACTTTATTCTTCTAAAATTAAATAACATAAGATAGAGACTAATCACCTCACGGTAGACAACAGGTAGAAAGCCACTAGACATAAACAGGTATTTTTATTAGCAACAGGTGTCCCGTTTACCTGTTGGGGGTGGTGAGGAGGAAGAGGATGTAAGAGCAGAGGGAGAGAGTGAGGGTAAGAGGGCGGAAGGAGGGTAGGAAGGGAGGGGAAGAAGGACAGGAAGAGAGGGAGGGAAGGAGAGAGAGAGAGAGAGCTTCGAAATCCTCTGAAGCCCCCCTCAGCCACACTCCTACATGAGACAATAAATTTTCCTTGAGTCATCGTGGGTGAGATGTCTCTAAGATGACTCTGGTGAGAAAGAGAGATTTATGAGACCTACGTGAGAGATCTCTTTATAGAACACTGGGGTATCTCTCTCTCTCTCTCTCTCTCTGTCTCTCTCCCATTTCCCTCTACCACAACTACAACCACAACTACCACCACAAGTACCACCATAACCACTATTACCACCATCTCTCTCTTTTCAAACGAGAGAAAGTCGCTTTAAAATTCTTTACAACAACATATTTGACTTAAGTAGCTACAAATATATATACGATCTGAGAGAGAGAGAGAGAGAGAGAGAGAGAGAGAGATACATGCACACAGGCAGCCAGACAGACACACATACAAACAGTCAGATATATAAAATAACAATTAGACAGACAGACAGGTATGTAAGCAGACACACAGCAGGCCAAATAATGACCCATCCGTGACCTGTACCCTGGCACGGTGCCCACAACATACCCTGCGTCGAGGAAGAGCCAACCTTCTGGGTTTTATCTCTCAGATGCATCGGTAGCTCTATGTGTGTTGGGTTTATTGTCGGTATGTGTCGGATGGCCCTATGAATGCTTATTGTGTGTTGGTAGAAGATGTCGACTGACCCTCTCTCTCCTTCGGTCGGCCTCAGGGAACGAGAGCATCGGTCCTAAAGCCGACAACAGCTGCAGATATTGACTATGAGGCAACAGTCACTGAGAGCCGCGGCTCAACTAACTCAACACAGCCAGGATAGCTTCTTATGTATTAGGATATTTAACATTAAGGTAATAAAATGGCCGCGAAGGAATGGCTATTGGGGGAGGCTGAAGGCCATCAAAAACAGTAGTAGTAGTAGACAGGCAAAGGTTAAGTGGTTATTGTGACGGTGGTGGTGGGCGCCGTGTATGTATGTACGTATGGTCAGCATGTTCACTTCGCAAGTACACACACACACACTGTCACCATTACTCTTCTGAAAGGGAAAGTTACTTTCAGGAGCCGTAGAGGCGAAAGAACCCAACCAGGTGCGTGAGAGAGAGAGAGAGAGAGTACTTACTAACGTAATAGTCAAATGGAAATACTTTTCTAAAAGTTACTTTCTTTGTTAAAGACCCAGATGGTGTGGGGAGGGGGAGCATTAAACCTCTCCAAGCTTTCTATGTTTTAGCCTGAGGGGGAAGACGTGTGTGTGTGTGTGTGTGTGTGTGTGTGTGTGTGTGTGTGTGTGTGTGTGTGTGTGTGTGTGTGTGTGTGTGTACCATATTAATAACATTTTTCTATGGTTGCATCAAACGGTAAACTAAACACTAAAACTTTAAATAAAAACTTGTATAAATTATAAATAAAACTTTATTAATTAATATCTAACTTAAGTAAGTTTAATTTATATTTTCTAATATATAATGGTAGAACGGACCACCATGACCCGTGTATGGTAACCTACCATGACCCGTGTATGGTACACCATAACCCGTGTATGGTAACCTACCCACATGACCCGTGTATGGTAACCTACCCACCATGACCGTGTAGTAACCTACCCCCCATGACCCATGGTAACCTACCCCTTGACCCGTGTGTAACCTACCCACATGACCCGTGTATGGTAACCTACCCCCCATGACCCGTGTGTAGTAACTCACATGACGTGTTGTAACCTACCCACAGACCCGTGTATGGTAACCTACCCACCATGACCCGTGTATGGTAACCTACCCCATGACCGTGTATGGTAACCTACCACCATGACCCGTGTGTAACCTACCCCATGACCCGTGTATGGTAACCTACCCACCATGACCCGTGTATAGTAACCTACCCACCATGACCCGTGTATGGTAACCTCCCCCATGACCCGTGTGTGGTAACCTACCCCATGCCGTGTGTACCTACCCACCATGACCGTGTGTGGTAACCTACCCACCATGACCCGTGTGGTAACCTACCCACCATGACCGTGTGGTAACCTACCCCCATGACCCGTGTGTGGTAACCTACCCACCATGACCCGTGTGTAACCTACCCACATGACCGTATGTAACCTACCCACCATGACCCGTGTGTGGTAACCTACCCCCCACCCGTGTGTGGTAACCTACCCCCACATGACCCGTGTGGTAACCTACCCACCATGCCCGTGTATGGTAACCTACCCCGACCGTGTGTGGTAACCTGCCATAACCCGTGTGTGGTAACCTACCCACCATGACCCGTGTGTGGTAACCTACCACCATGACCGTGTGGTAACCTACCACCATGACCCGTGTAGTACCTCCCCCCATGACCGTGTATGAGTAACCACACCATGACCGTGTATGGTAACCTACCCACCATGACCCGTGTATGGTAACCTACCCACCATGACCCGTGTATGGTAACCTACCCCCATGACCGTGTGTGGTAACCTACCCCCATGACCCGTGTGTGGTAACCTACCCACCATGACCCGTGTGTGGTAACCTACCCACCAAGCCCGTGTGTGGTACCTACCCACCATGACCGTGTGGTAACCTACCTACCGTGTGTAACCTACCCACATGACCCGTGTGTAACCT